TGTGCAGGTTGAGCCACGGCGTTTACTAGCTCGCTCTTTTCCGATGTTTTACTTGTCTGTCTTGCTATTTTTATATTTTCTATCTTTCTATTTTTCGAGTTTATTATTACTGTCTTCCATTTTTTCCTATTTTACGTTGTTCTATGTCACTTGTTTAGTATTTTACTAATACTTTGCTTGTTACGAACTTACGTTTTTGCGATTGGGCCACGCGGCCTAACCTGTGGGCGCAACGCATACGCTCTTCTGCTTCGCAGCACTCTGAATCTCGGAAGATAAGCCATGCAAGGCAAAGAAGGGAAAACTTTGGCATCTTCAATGCCCACAAACACCAATGCCCACGCTCGAACAAATCGGAAGCAAAAGGCCCGCAGCTGTGGTAAGGATCCCCACCGCAACACATGAAAGAAGAGAACACCGGCGACTGGCACTGCCAGCAAAGCCGAGGAGTGGTAGGAGGGAAAATTCCAGCCCACCTGCGAACCTCTCAACTTGAGAGGTAGCGGCCGCGGGCATAAAGTAGTGCATGCCAAACCCAGCCAGGCCACTGCACACAACATCTCAGGACGACTGACGACTAGATTTTTATTGGAACATCGAATATTAGAAGGAGCTCCTGCACCTCGAGACTCTGCATCTCGAAAACCGACAAGGTTGAGATTCCATTTTACTGCTACTTTACGATCTACTGCAATGAAAAACAAACAGATCTTCATGTCGAAATCCTGCACGCAGCTCATATGTCAGGTGCAACATCCAGAAGCAAGACATTGCTTTTCGCCGAAAGAACAACACCCGACGTCGAACCCTAACTCCGTCCGATCCACAAACTCACAAGCTTTGCATCTCGAAAACCGAGGTTTGCATGAAGAACCACCAATTGCCATGTCGAGCCAGCTGGCACAAAAGAAATATAGGCCTTCGTTCGTCCTCAGCCGTCACTTCGACCGAATTGCTGCCCCGGCGCAAGCTTGCCTGCCAGCATCCCGGGACTGTGCTCCTAGTTTGCACGTCTTAGGCCAGGGCGCTGACGGAAAGGTTTTGTGGCAAGTCCCGCCGCTTGTGCCTCAGCAATCCCAACATCTCTGCAGTCACGCGACTTTCGAGCTGGCTCAGAATGACTTCCCGGACTTACCATACCACATCATACCGCCATCTCACTCTTGGAGTCCTGCCCTCGTAGCGGCACTTTGGTGGCAAAGACCTTTTACGCACATCCGAATCGGCTCCTTATTTCTGTTGTGCGATACTCCTAGCGTCCGACGCCTCCTTTCCGTTGACATCCACGCTCAAAAAGCTGGGCCATACCTGCCAAGAAGTTTGGCACCAGGCTCATCCAGACAACCGCGCCCAACCGGCCTGCTGCAAAGTCTGAGGCTCTGAGGCAGCACGCCTTTCATGAAATTGGATGCAACAGATAGAGCCGTGCTGGGTTTCCGTGCTGGGTTTGCCCCACCTACGCAGACCTCGAAGCTCTACCTGCGCAGCAAGGATCAATCTGGGAACGCACAGAAGAAGGCACGCAGCATAACGATCCTGCCGTTTTGTCACGGAACCTACGGGCCTATGACAAAGAGATTTGCTGCCACTATGCAAAGCAGCAATCCCTGCATTTCCCTGCGCCAAATGAAAGCTCCACACTCGGAAGTGCCAAAGTGTGGCGAATTGAAGAAGGCAGGAGCAGAACGTAGCAGAACCGAGTTTATTCTCAAGCGAAAGCATAACGTGTGCTTGCGCTTGAAGTTTAAGACAAAGCGCTGCCTATGCGCAGCTGAGTATCGCAGGCGCTGTTTTCTGCCCGGCTTTCCGTACACTACTCAACAAGGCCAGCGGAGTCTCACGCTGTGGCACAAGGTGGTTGTGCCCATATGTGCCCATCACCCAAAAGTACACCTTGGAAACTCTGGATATGAAGAGAGCGAAGCGAGAACTCTCCTGACAAGGAACCCACTCTCGGGACCCCAACATCATGTTCTCCAGCTATAACCGTGTAACACCTTGGAATCATGAGCCAGGAAAACTAGACCATTCATGAACCGTGTAAAGGACTAGAATATTGGGTCTAGAAGTGTGATGCGTTGTGGCTTGCGCCTTCGAAAAAGGCGTCATGCTTGAGGAACTGCGTCGGTCTTCCGAAAGAGCTGCTATGCTTTGCACGTTAAATCTTGCAAGCGTTGCTTCGGCCCCCCGTGCACAATCGGCTGATGAATTTGAAGTCTCCTGCCTCAAAGCCCTGCTTGCGCCACTGACGAATGTCTGGAACCTGGCAACGAAGGATGCCTCTTGTTAAAAATCGGTACCCGAGTCTTGGGACAAAGGCAATTCGGGTTGTTGCTTGGCAAGTTTGGCTTTGAGCCGGATCAGAACTTGCAAATGGTGAGGGAACCACATGTGGCATAAAGTGCCTCCAAATTGAAGGCAAGATGTCGACCAGGCAACACAGCCATGTACAGGACGTGGTCGACCTGTTTAAGAAAGGTCACAAAAACTGTCACCTGGCCTAAGGACCCAAGGACCTCAACGACAGGTTTGAAAGGATCCTGCTCACGAAAGCAGCACCTTGGAATCTCAGTCGAAGCTGGAGGGGTTTCTCTGTGTGTGTGCGTCTGAAAAACATTGACAACTGAGCATTTGGCATGTTGCAGAGGTGGTTATGCCTCAGCCTTCCATTGCACAACAAAAGGTCAACGACCCGAGACCCAACTGTCGGGCTCACTGGGCGCACTGGGCAACACTGTAGACAAGCAAGGAGATGTTGCATGAAGCGCTTGTGTGTGTGTGTGTGTTCTTTTTGTGTGAAAGCTTCAAAGACACATTGAAAGAGACTGACCCGAAGCCAAGGTAGTCTCCAAGAACCCCCTGTCTTCTGGAAACTCCATTGGGTTAGGTCTCAAGGATTTCAAGTTGAGGCTTTGAGACATCAGGCTTCGGAGTTCGGGCCGGGTAGTTCACGGGTCACTGCTTGCGGATTGCTTTGGGCTTAGGATGTGGGTGTCTTGTTCATTCCATTCTGTGCTCAGGTGCTTGAGGCTTCAGGTGGCCGAACTTCGGCCGCTGCAGCACATGCTTGACTGCCGGTGTGCTGTGTGCTTCGCTTGGACGGGCCGAAGCCTCTGAACAAAATCCAACAAAAAAACTATTCGTAACCATTCTCGACGCATCCAAAAGAGTTGCGACAGGGCTGTCTGGGGCCACCTAGAACAAGGGGCCAGCACCACCCGCCCCTCACCCCCGCGCAATTGCAAACACAATGCAGGAAGACGGGTTTGGAAGGATGCACATCAATGCATCTCCACAGCATGAGATGTTCCTGAAAGGTTGAGGGGGAAAGCCCCCCAAACTCACAAACACAATGCCCAAAACACTCATATGGCTTGGAAGGATCCAGCAAATCCGTGCAACAGTATGATGCTCCGAAAAGCGAGCTTGCCCGACTTAAACAAGCGGGGGGGGGGTCCGGGGGGGAAGGGTGCCCACGCATTCACAAACGCGATGCTTGTGTACAGCTTCGGAAGGAGTCATAACATATTCGAAGTAATCGACAGCATGATGTTTCCAAACAGGGGAGGCCCGCCCCCGCCCCCTCCCCCCAGTTCCCCCAATTTGTAAACACAATTCTCGCATGCAAGTTTTGGAAGAATCAGACAAATAAGTTGTTTGCAGCAATTCCTTTAAACGCGATGTTGCGCAGCCTAAACAGGCGGGGGGGTTGGGGCGGCGCAGCCCCGCCCCCCCCCTCCCCCCCCCCGAATTGGAAAACACGGTGCGCTTCCTTAACTTTTGAACTTCATGGCCTCTGCTCAACGGGCTCCAGCGACTTCTGGCACTTCTGGCAGGCACCTGGTAGTCGTGGGCGCCAAGTTGGAATGCTCGACAGGAGGCCATGGTGCATGTGGCGCCTTCGTTCTGAACATGGAGGCCAGGCTCTCCATAAAGCCGCTCTTGTGACTCTTGTGTCTCGTGGATGGAGGCCGGCGGAGGAGAGCCCTGTCACTGAAAGCCAACATGCACAATACTTCAGGCGAAGCACGCGCTTCGACCCACACCAAGGCGCCCGGCATCTTCGATCTCCTCTTCAGAGGCCTTAGCCTTAACATGCACAGTACTTCGAGTACTTCGAGCCAAGCATGATGGCTGCACGCCCAGGCCTCATCTGTCTCCACGCCATCTACACTCACTTCACATGGCAGTGGCGATGGTCCCATGCCCTCATTCTGACTACTTCAGCATGCAATCTGATTAATATCAACAGCACTGCAAGGCGAAATACACCCATGCCCCAGCCACGTCTGATGTACTGGAGTGATTCTCACATCGCACAATGTTCATGTCCGCGCAGGTGCTGTTACTGCAGAATCAGACATTCTTCTAGCTCCTTGAAGCCACTTGCGCGACTTGCCGTGCAGAACAGGTGCCATTTGGCACGGTGCCATAGCCTAAACAAAATGCAAGTCCTTGAAGTCTGGGCATCAAAAACGTTCTCTAGTTCTCGTCTGCCTCATCACAAGTACTCCAACTTCCCGCGCTAATAATCACCAGCTCTCTGGCTTCTGCCATGGCCCCGCACCAAAAAAACAGAGCCCTTTCGCAATCACCGTCTATCTTGCTAAGGTACATGCACGGAACTCATCTGTGTCTGAAGACCACTGAAATCATGCCGGACACTGGCACATCTTTGACAGTGACACCTATCGGTGTTGGTTTTTCATGGCCACGTGGGTCCTCGAGCTTCTTCGTTTGTGATTAGCACATTTAGCAAGGCAAAGTGTGGGGGCCAGCTCGCAAGGTCACGACGGTCACGGCAGAAAAGGCTGGCAGGCCCAACCTAGAAGGAAACCAGAAACCCTATGTCAAAAGAAAGACACTGACGATCTCACGATTCTCAGTCATCCCTGACCTCATGATTCGCTCGCTGCACACTGAAGCACCTCAAGTCGTGCCCACGTTTTCCTTACTCAAACCCATGTCAATGTCAGCGCATTTGCCGGCAGTGTGGCAGGTCAACAGGCACACTCACTTTGCGTGTCTGTGCTGCCCTCCGTGCTGCCACCTGCGCTGTCCTCATCAGAAGACAGCGGCAGCGCTATCTCAGCCTCTTCCTGGGCAGATTGACAGAATGGGCAAAACGTCAAAAGCTCTCCACGCGACAAAGCAAATCTTACCGTACTTTGCGATGCTCCGAATGCTGGTCAAGGCTCGCCATTCTTTTTACGAAGCTCCATCACTTCTCGAACTTGTGCGGCTGCTTCAATGTATGTTATGGCACTAAGTGGATTTACGATTGTCATCAGATCTTTGCCCCAATCTCGGTTGATGAACGGAATGGGCCCAGTGTTGTAAAAGTCTCGGAAGGCCTGCAGAGGTATGCGCGAGGTTGTTGGGGATATGACAAACCACAGAAGTACGATCGGAAAGCCATCAAAGACAGACCGCATGACCGTGGAAAAGTGCTCGATGACCTTTCCCGTCAGCCAGCTGTAGAGGACGCCAGCCGCCAGCGCTGCATAGACAATCCAGGAGTCCCAACCCAACAAGATGCCACGACCACAAAGGCAGTGAAGCTCTTGGGATGTAGTGACTGTAGTGCTATTCAAACTGATGAAGGCACCTCTCAGAGACAAATAAAGACAAAGGGTGATCTCCAGGTGTACCAGATTATGCCACTCTAGAGACCACTGCATTTGAACTAGGTCAGGCCTGCTTCGTTGCAGGATCCAACAGAATGGCCTGTCACACACACACACACACACACCCACACGCGCACACACGCACACACACACACACACACACACACACGCACACACTTGATGCAACTTGGCACGAGGAACAAGAAAAACGAGAACATCTGGCAAAAGCCGCAACTCGTTGACACAAAATGTAAGTCTAGGGTCAGTGCAAGCTGAGAATGCCCGAGTAATCTTTTTGTCAAGACTTCCCATGGCCATCTGGCCGACAGCACGCACATGCGCACTGCGAAGTGACGCGCTCAGCCATGAACTCGACTGAAACTGGGTACGGCATTGAAGGGCGGGCGTCGTGACAGGGACAACTAGTGGCTTCTGAGTGCAACATCACGTGCGCCCTTTTCGCAGAGGACATTAGAGGACTCTACAGGGGAAGCAGACAACCGGACGGCTTCTTGCAGCTTGAATTTATGCCATGTTAAAATCATCGGCCGTGGCTTGACGTGGCACACCTGCACATTGCAACAAGGTCCAATGCGACAATGCAGAGAGAGGCATGACTTTGCTTCAGGCATCGGATTCTGAATGGCACAGTACGTAAGGGAGTTATGGTCCATGAACCTGCCTCATGTTCATGGAATGACTAGATCCCAAGCAGATACTCCGCAAAACCTAGACTCTGCTGCCAAGTCTCAATCCCAGTACGGGCTCGGCCGGAAGACCCAAAATGCCAGGTCAGGGCGTCCTCCCTTGATTCCAAGGTACCCCATGACCGGTAAGAAAACAATGCCCCACAGAAAGGCTCCGAGATCGAGCCGGATCTTATTTATTATGAAAGGCGTTGTCGTCTTCTGAAGTGCCACCTCCATGATCACGGAGTAAATGCAAGCGAACGATGCCGATGCGGCCACGCAAAGTATGGCGGCCACACTTGAACCTTTCCCTGCCGTCCTACCGGCAACTGCAGCATCCATGAAGGCAAGAGTGATCGACGCATCGAACAACGCAGTGACGGACAGCCATTCGATCCACAGGTATCGGCGCTTCAGTATCCAACGACCAAGGACCAGCGAAAGAGGAGTATAGATCTTTCCCATGGCCACATACAGCGAGGAATTGATGCCAAGACCCATCGACAGACCAGCCAAGGCACCCACAACAGACTGCAATAATCCCAGCAGCAAGAACTTCGGCAGGTTTCTGGGATTGAAGGCCTCCTTGAGCCCGGACAAACCTTGGAAAAGCACAGGTCGAACACCCAGACCCTGTCCCAAAGAAATGACAAGCATGCCAACCAGCTAAGCCAAGCAGCCATAGATGTTCATCGTTAGCACACAAGCCAAGCCCATCCCACAGAAGGGTATGCCTACTTGCAGCGACTGGGGCACAAAGAAACGATTCGCCGATACTGCATTCCTAAGTGTCAGGTCATGCGCGTGGCTTTCTATTTTTTCGTTTGATAATCTGAGGTGAAGCCTCAGTGGGGCATCTACCATGCTCTGTGATACTTCACACCCGACTGCAACCGACGCGATGTCCCCAAATATTGGATGACTCTGAATATTGGTATTGAAGTCTATGCCGACATTCCGCTTTTATCTGCTTTTTGGAGAGGAGAAGCCCTCATCCCACAGAGTATGGAAGGGGTTTGCAAGCCGCTGGCAGTCACTCCTGGCACCCTGAAGCCTTAACTGAAGCCTTCGAGCATTCAAGTTGAAACCAACAACGTACAGCTGAACGCAGAGCTGAGCATCTGGAACTCAGTCTGCAGTGCGTTTGACACAATGTACAAGACCTTTGCAGAATGCGCTCCACTTTCACACGGCTCCATGCCTACGCAGCAGCTCAGCACAGTGACAACTAAGCAAGGTGCGGGTAAAGAGTACTTCAGAATATAGCCGCACAATGGCGAGGGCGTGTCTGCAGCGTCCTGGGACATAGCCAAGCAGATGACATAGGCATTAATTATAAGAAGGGTGGAAATTTTTTCTGGCCTTGTTTTGCTACTCTTTTTTGCTACCGTGATTTTCGGAGAGCGGCTCAAACACCGCAGCGGTTGACAGTCTCTAGGACTACCACTACCCACTGGCAACCACTACCACTGCCACTACCACCACCACTACCACGACCACTACCACTACCACTACCACTACCACTACCACTACCACCACTACCACTACCACTACCACTACCACTACCACTACCACTACCACTACCACTACCACTACCACTACACTACCACTACTACTACTACTACTACTACTACTACTACTACTACTACTACTACTACTACTACTACTACTACTACTACTACTACTACTACTACTACTACTACTACTACTACTACTACTACTACTACTACTACTACTACTACTACTACTACTACTACTACTACTACTACTACTACTACTACTACTACTACTACTACTACTACTACTACTACTACTACTACTACTACTACTACTACTACTACTACTACTACTACTACTACTACTACTACTACTACTACTACTACTACTACGGTGCAACCCTATGGTTTGCCCGCGCTTGTTTTTGGAAGGTACATAAAACATGCGCAGGCGCAGCGTTTCTTGCCTTTGCCGGCCTTTCAACAGTGTTCTTTTTTTCGGTTTTTTTCTTCATAAACGACGACCCTCTGCGGGTTTCCCTGCGTTCCGGACTTCGCAGAACCCTACGGTTTGCCCGCGCGCGCGTCTTACGGTTTGGGCTTTGGAGTGTTTCAGGCACGAGTCCAGCACGAGGGCTTCGGTGTTTTGTCGTCCTGGGCTTCAAGGAAATAACACTGCTTTCGGGCGTGGGTTCAGGGTTGAGGCGTAAGACAGTTTACGGTTTGCCCGCGTCTTCTGCTTGTGGGCAACGAACAGCCAAAGCCTAAACCTTAAACTCCAGAAGTTCTTGGTCCGATTTCATAGCTCAGGATTTCGCAGACGACTCGTCTTGTGGCCACTACACTACTAGCCTCCTCAGCGAGCTGCCCAGCGTCTGCGCCCCGCTTCCCGTATGCCAGGGCCGTGTCCGACTCTGCAGACCGCGGACCTGTGGCCGCGCGACCCAACAAGCACGGGACTGCGTCAGTAGTGTAGTGGCCACAAGACGAGTCGTCTGCGAAATCCTGAGCCATTAAATCGGACCAAGAACTTCTCGAGTTTAAGGTTTAGGCTTTGGGCTGTTGGGTGCCACATGGTTCATGCTGACATGCTGCGGCAAAAGCTGATTCAAGCATGCTTGTCCAAACCCATGCTTGACCACTGTGTGTGGGCAAACCACCCGGTTGGGGCGTACTACTACTACTACTACTGCTACTGCTACTACTACTACTACTACTACTACACTACTACTACTACTACTCCCTCTACTACTCTGCTACTCTACTACTCTGCTACTCTACTACTCTACTACTCTACTGCTCTACTACTCTACTACTCTACTACTCGACTGCTCCACTACTCTACTACTCTACTACTCTATAAAAATACAATATCTCTCTTTTGTTGGCTATCTAAATCCGCCGAGGCCTCGGGCCGAAGGTGTATTGGTAGTCAGAACAGGCACCCCCCTCCAAATCCTCCTCCCCCCCCCCCTCCCCCCCCTCCCCCTACCCCCCCCCCTTGACCCCCACCGCCCCCCCCCCCCCCCTCCCCCCCCCCTACCCCTATCCCCCCCTACCCCCCCCTACCCCCCCCCCCCTACCCCCAACCCCCCCCTACCCCCAACCACCCCACCCCCTCCCCAACCCCCCCCTACCCCACCCCTCCCCACCCCCCCCCTACCCCCCCCCCTATCCCCCCCCCTTTTTTGTCCCTCCCCAAAAGCCACATGAGCGGCTGGGCTCGAGGTGCTAATGGACGCAACAAGAGGGGCTTGATGTTTGTAGGTGTCGCTATAGCACACCCAATGGTTCATAACCTCGGGGTGTCGCTTTTCAAGTGTTCCCATCGTTTTACAGGGTTTTGGGCATTCGTGTCCACCCCTTGCTTAATTGAATGGCTGGGGGTTTTGGCGCTTGCTCACATAAGGTGTTTGTGAAAGGCGGAGTTTTCCTGCTCCGACGCGCTGGCTTGAGGGCCGGAGGCTCAACTGGTGTGAGCACGGCCGAGGTGTATAGGTTGTCAAATCCGCCCTCCAACCTGTGGCCTCAAATGGGTACCCCCCCTGGGAAACCGGGGTCGGTTCGCCAGGACCAGAGGCAGTTGAAGCCCCTCACCCACACCCCCCCCCCCCCCCCCCCCCCCCCCCCCCCCCCCCCCCCCCCCTCCCCCCCCCACCCCAACAGTCGCCCACCCTACGATCACTCCAAGCCGAACCCTCAACCCCAAAGCGTGAACCTTGAGCCCTAAACTAACCCTCAACCCCAAACCCCAAACCATAAACCATAAACCCGGAACCCTCAACCCTCAACCCTCAACCCAACCCTTATTGCTTGGGGTCCAGCGACTTGGGCGCTGCGGAATCACCATGCTCACGCGGATGCGCTGGGCCAGGCCGAGGCGGGTCGCGTAGCGTTAAAATTACCCATTTTTCAAAATTATTACTAAAATCCATGATATGTTGGTAACATATCCTATTGAGTGCATAGAGTTAGGAAATTTGTGTGAATTTTACTACCAGAAATATCATACTAGAGCCGGAATGTCAAAATTGACGTTCTTTGCTGAAAATGCTGTGTCAAGTAAGCTAAATTGGGGTGGGGTCGGTGAATTAGAACACGATCAATATTCAAGATCTCAATTCGTAATAGTTTATTGAATAATTCAAGAAAATCTTCGCAAGCAAATACACAAATTAATTTAGTTATGTAGGAGCCGACCTGATGCTTCAGAGACTAACACTTGGTAGTCATGAAAGCCTGGAACATGGTATCGCATTAATCACTGCGAAACATTCGACCCTTTATACTTACATGCAATGCAAAGTTACGCCGCACAATGATTATGTTCGCTTCCAACCTCTGTATATTTGTAGTAAAACCGTATAAGTGCTAACAGCTGCTAACAATCACATCTACAACACAAAAAGCGTTTGAGAAGAAACTGTAGGCTTATGCAGGCCTCGTCTTTAGCAGTGGAGCACATCATCTCCATAACATACTGCCTGCACGCTTGAAGGCCCCCCAGCTCTCGCTTCGGAGTAAACCCGGTTGCTTTCCATAGAAGCTTGACATTCAGTCTTCCCGTCTGGAACAGAATAGCGCAGATGACAACGAGAATAGCGATCAAGGTTGATGGAATCGATCGGATTCCCCAGTTGTGTCCCAGAGTGATCCCCATCATCGGATCAATGATGCATGCGCTTAAAACGCCAACAACAGTCTGAATGAGGGATTTTGTGACGGTCGAAAAATGCTGAACGACGAGGCCAGCCCACCACATCTGTCCAACCGTGAGAAAAAGGAGCACGAAGTGGCGCCTGCTCCAGGAGCCAAACATGACATCAGTGCGGGATCCCCATGATGGCCCGTGCTGGAAGTAATACTGCCAGGTCCAAACTGCTCCAAGAAGAATGAAAGTCACAAAGTCCAGGTGCACCCGATGGATGTAGTACTTTCCGTGTAAGGTGTAGTCACGGTGCGCCAACTCAATCCCACGAGACAGATTCTTGAATATTCGCTCGGATAGAACTGACGCTACTGCACCCACAGAAATTCCCACGAAGGCGCTCGCAATCCCACTGAAGTTGGTGTCGGGGTGCTTGAAATTAAAGTAGCCACAATAGTTCACGTCACACCGCTCACGCATAATGAAGAAGGCAGGGGATGACAGAATCAGCATGGACAGCGACAGCCATTCCAGCTTACCATACAATCTGCTAAAGACAAAGAAGCTCACAAGCGCAGCAACAATTACGTAGAGGTTGTCCATCATGACGAATATCCTGGGCGGCATTCGTTGAAAAAATGAGCACATTGCCAAAACAAGCACTCATGGACTTCTCAAACCGATTCCCACATTGAATCGAGCAACATGTGGTGCAAGCCCGACTCCACAGACATTGTCAAAAGCACGGATTTTGCAGCAAAAAGCAACCCCACGAAGCTCCACCGCCAAAGAGCGGCAAAGGAAAATACCCTTATGGCTCCCTCAGCAGCGACACAATGCAAGGCTATGTAGCCATGTGCAAAGAGCTCGAGTGATCCGGACACTTCAACTCAAGTCCGACAGCTCACAGTATCCACCTGCTTTACTTCGAGCCTGCCTCCCTCCTACCACAACTTGCCACGACTGCAAAACTGAAACCTGCATCTTGACGTATCTTGACTAGGCCTGCGACCCATTGCCCCTCCATGAAGAAGGAGATACACAACGCGATGGTCAAAGACACAGCGCATGCCATGACCTCAATCGACAAGTAGTTCACTTCGTGCCCGGCAAAATCCCAGGCCCGTTCTTTCGAACCTTCCAGTAACGCAAAGGTAAGCGCAATGGCACACCTTGCTCGATTTCCCACCCGTGGTGCCAACCAAGCATAAAGTCGCGGTGCCCAGTACCGAAGGCCACCACGCTGGGGGAGCGGAGTCTCGCAAGACTCGAAAGAGGTGTCGGTCTCTTCTCCCGACTCGCGACCTTCGTCACGGCTCCTTTCATCGTTTAAGAGGCCAGATATTCCTGTGGAGACGTCTGCGTCAATATCATGTCGCCATGAGCCGAGAACGGACCCTTGTAGTGCATCTGTGCCGAACTGAGTCATCGCGTGCATGGCATCAAACGGCCGAGCTGTTTCCATCGATCCACTCCGGCCAAGCATGGTCCCAGTCCGCAGGCAGCAGGCAGGATCGGAGGACCGGATCAGCGAATCGCGCTCTCGACTACATTTGACTACACAGTAGACAGGACATACATGACTTTACCGTTTTGGCCTGTCTGGCGAACACCCAGGAGAATTCATCCACTCCAGGACTTTACGGAAGAGGCTGGATCGAGGCATTCGGTTCACAACGATGCATCAAACACGACTAATGTTCAAGGCATGCCAGCTGTCTGCTCACTGACGGGCACAACTGTCATCCCATGCATGCGATGTTTTGCTTTGCTAGAAGGGAGCTTGAGACGGACGAAGCCGTAGCAGAAGCAGAGCCGTGGCAAAGTCAAGGGAACGCCATATGTATATGCAAACATGTGGAAAGGCCAGGGAGAGGAGCGTCGTGCCTGGTTTCCGGACTTTGTCTTTTCGCACTTGTGCTGAGGAAAGCAAGCTGGTTGTTCCAGCCAGTCATCTCAACGAATCCGCTTTAGGGATCTGCCTGCAGATCATCGATCCGAAATGTGTGCATTAACCACGACTGGTGCACAACAGTGGGTTTGTGCATGGGAGAGGGTGCGGCAACCGCAAGGAGGAAGAGAGTTGGGGAGAGCGAGACGCAGAGTCCAGGTACAGATGCTACAACATGCTACAAAAAAACTATCCCATGACCACTGCGCAGATACATGCAAATATTAACAAATCAGTCACTCTCTCTGTGCGACCTCGTTGGCTGGACAGCTTCGTCCACTGAGCGATGCCTGTGAAACACTGTCAAGCCCAAGCTGGGTGTGACTGCAACTCTTGCAGCACCCGCTTGGCCAAATCGTTGCCAGCTCCGTTCCCGGAGTTTTTGTCTGGATGCCACCGGAGCAGCAACCTACGTTTGGCACCAGCACGCTCTCCCGCTGTTAAAGACTTCAGTTGCTGGAGCTCCAGCGCCACGAGCTCTGACACCACATCGTCCATCGTCTTCGCAGGAACTGCCCGACATGCTGCGCGCTGGAGGTCGGTACTCAGTTGACGACCCTGCATTTCCAACGCCATTGTCCGTCTCTCTGCATTTCGCAACTGCTGCTGCAGCAAACTGCATTCCTTCTGAAGATCACTTGCTGTGCAGATTGATTGCTTGGCCGTGGCTTCAGCAGCTTGCCTTGCCACACGTTCCTTTTCAAGCTCTTTCTTCAGGGAGTCGATCTCAGCATTTTTCTGCCGAATCCCAGTTAAAGAGTCTAGCCCTGCATCACCAGAGCTCTCCCCAGCTGAAAGAGACGCCAAGACCTCTTCTTCGTAGAGTTGTGCAAGGATGGCACCGGCTGTCAGTCCTCGTGGTGTGGAAGCAGTGGACCTGCAGGGCACAACACAGCACAAGATGGCGCAACCAACGTCAACAACCTGCTACGAACTTACGGTGTCCTTGCACAACCAACAAAACAATGTTGAACACAAATCTCAACCACTGAAGGCTCCTCTCCCCCCACCCTCCCAGATCCCTCTAGAGAATCCCTTGAAAGATTCTTTCTGCGACTCTGGCTGCAGCAAATTGCGGCAGCTTGCAATGTGTTGGGAAAACACTTTTGATTTGGGAAAGTCGAGGCGTGTTCCCGCCCCCCCCCGGCCCGGCCAGTTTTCCACGCAAGCGAGGGCAGGAATGTGCCTTATACGATTTGCAGCTTGCACCCGCCGAACACACTCCGTCTCAAACACCAGGTACAAGGGGCAAAGATGAAAAACTTGCGGAGACACAATCTCAAGTTTTCTTTGAAACTCACCTTCTTTTGGCACACAGTTTCCCCAGCGTGCGACACACGAGCAATCAAAGATCTTCCACATAAGCTCGCATGCCTGGCAGGCCTTGTAACAATACGGTTGGCGCTGGAACACGTCGAAAGGTCCGAAGAAGCCGGCGAGATACTCCCTTGTCGATGCAAATAATTTGATAGATAAGGTCTTCCACAAGCTGCTCGCTGCTCCAGCTCTGCTGCTTGAGCCTCTGCTTCAGCAGCAGCTACTGCTGCTGCACAAATTCCGCTGAGTGCACTCCAATTCGGCCTTGCAGCAATTTGTCATAACAAGATATGACTTGGTGACCCTCCGTAATCTGCCTTGGCGCAGTAGCTTCTGTTTCAAGTGCGCCTTGGATCAGGAGCGTGTCACCACAAGCACCCTCAAGAATTCTTCCCGGAATGTTCCGCAAATCGTCGTTCTTAGCGTGTTGGCCTGGGACCCAGGCTGCCGCCATGGCTATGCACAGCCACTGCAGGTGGACAAACCTCGGATGCCACAAAAACTGACAATATTGACAACAGCCATGGACTAGCCGAAAAGACAAAGGCCGGGCCACTGCTACCAGCAGCCTGGACAGCTTCGTTGCAGCCTCTGGCAGCACGACTTCGGCCTCCTGCGTTTTGGAGCATGTTTGCAAAAGCGACTTCTTGCGTTAAGCAGCGCTAGAAACAGGGCTTCCGTGCGTCCTTCACGCCACCAGGATGCAAGACTGTTGCCAGCGCAGAATCACTGCTGGGCCACTCACCATACACACGAACCTTGCAGTCAACGGATGTGAGCGGAGTATGAACGGCACAGATTACCACTCTCACGCTTCGGCACTTCGGGCCTGTCAACGAAACCATTGAGACCCGTGCCAAGCGAATGGGCAGAGACCTCCGGACGCGTATGAACGAAGGCTGACCTGTGCAACTGCAAGATACTGTAACTAACACTGCAAAAGGCATTGCGAGATTGTGAGACACTGTCGTCTAAGTATATCTAAGTCTTGGAGACTCGACATGGTGACATTCCGCAGGCGAGAAGCCACGGCCTTTTGCAGTGATCGGCACGACGAAGAAATCCCAGCCAGGCTCATGCCTTGCGGGTCTTGCGGCGTGCCAACCCTCTGGCTCGACTGCTGTGCATAACCAGGCCAAGCTCACGCCAACGGCCCTGCAGTTCCTTCTCCTCCACCCTGAACACACACACACACACACACAAAAAAAAAAAAAAACACACACACACACACAAACTCCACATGCTGCCAACAATTGCAGCCTCATATGCCCCAAGCCTCCAGCCAGTCCATCCCGTCATACGAGAAAGCGCACCTTTGGCCGAGTTGCACTTTAGATGCTTTGGGAGTTGAACCGAAGCTGCTCTCTTATCGCTCAAAATCCAAGCCACTTTGGCAAGCTGGAAGAGCGTGTCGCATCGGCTACCATTGCCTGCATCCCGTTCAGGGAAGTGTCAAACTTTCGTGCCTTGGCTTGGCCTTCCAAGGTCACTGAAGGCGATGCTCACGTTGAGGTCATGGGCACACACTCGAGGCTTGTATGCTTACAAAACCAGATCATCACGGCTACAGCCTGTGCTGTTCTGCTTCATTGGTCACCAGTGCATACAAGTGCATACCAGTGCATACAACAGTGCCCTTCAATGTGGATAGAACATACGCTCAAAGCAGCAATGTCTCTGTCAGGCGGCTTGTTTCCAGTAAAAGTCGCATCATGTCACCCGAGCGCGCGTGAGAGATCATGTCACCCGAGCGCGCGTGAGAGAGAGAGAGTTTGGGTTTACACCTTCGGTCGCAGAATGTTGACACAAGCTGCAGGTCCTCGGGTGGGCGGGGTGCAAGGTCGGCCCCCCCCCCTCCCCCCCCCCTAATCGAGGATGACCCCCCTCACAAGAGCCGATACTGCGCCCAGAGCCTCTCCTGCTAACTCCTGCTAACTCAGGGCCCCCCTCCCTCCCCCCCACCCGTGACACCTTGAATTCCTGACATATCAGGCCGAAGGTCCCCCCAAGTCATGTTTGGCCCAAGACAGGAAGGTTGCAAAAAGAACTCCGCAAACTCGCTTTCGTGACATCTCCTGAAGAGACATTTCGATTTTGTCCCCAGCTTGGATGAAGCTGACCGAACTAGATCGAATCAGCCAATTTCAGCAGGCGCGACTCAGCAGTGGAAGCGGAGAGTGTTTTTACTAAGGCAGATTGTTGAACGTTCAACTAAACTTGAAGGTCTCCGCCGACCGCTGCCTCTGACGGGCCTGGCCCTACATGCTTCGAATTTGAGTCTCTCGCTGAGACTTCGAGTTGAACTTAGTTGAGTTGAATTTAACATGCTTCCCAGATGCCGCATGCTATCTGAACTAGCTAAAGCAAATCGAGATCTATGCCATACATACAACGAAGTAGATGACATATGGATCTTTGTGAATCAGAGTAGAGGGCGACTTCTGTCATCTTCTTCTGGAAGGCTCCACGGCCTCGTGTTGAAAGTGACATCGGAATCTGGAGCACAAAATGGAGTCTCTTCTTTCACATGGACCGACAGCACGGTTCAAACTTTTGCCTGAAGTGTTTCAGCGCGTCCTGAGATACATCGCCCAACTCAACGTCTACGACTTCAAATTGAACACAGAGACGGGTCTGAACACATTATGTTCTTCACGGGCTTCTCCTCGGCCTCCTCCTCCCACACTCCTCGCAGGGAAGCTCAACAGCATCACACGGCCACACGCGAAATGTCGAAAAACACTCTCGGGACACGTCCGCTGCTGCTGACCAGTTGACTTGCAGAAGCCCGCTCAAGACAACACGACCGATAAGTGGATTTCGACCTGATATAAAACCAAAGCATGATCAACACATCTGCCTTGCAGCTCTTCAGCTGCAGTTTGGTATGTAAGCGCACTCTCCTGCAGCTTTGCTTATCGCCCGCTGTCAGCACTCATGTTTGACCCTTGGATGGCAGCACATAAGCAATAGGCTACATGCCTCCACGGCCGCCAACTGCGATTGCAGCCTGTTGCAGTTTTAAGACTTGGCTACTGTCGATCAACGACGAGCGCTTTGCTACTGCTCGGAATGGGTCCCCCCGCCTAGCCGACCGGCATCTGGGAGCGTGCTTTCCCCCCCTTTCCCCTCCCCACCCTGCCCCACCCTGCCCCTCCCCCCCCTGCCCTTTCCTTGCAACTGTTCTTTGCTTTTTCTATTTCGCGGCGGCAAGATGCGGCAAGCCTGCCCTCTTTTCTCCCACCACTTCCCCACTTCCCCTGCCCTATCTGCCCTTCTACCCGTACCCTATCTCCCAAAAAGGAGGACCTGAAAAGACCCAAAAGCTTTTGCCCCCCAAAAAGATCCCAATAAGCACCGAAACCGAAAGGCATCAAGAAAACTTCCGAAGGTTCAAAAAGGCCCCCTTTCAGAACCCCAGAGAGGATGAAAAACAAAAAACGCCTCTTTTGTAGGAGAAGCCCTTGCTTGTTGCTTTGGAGCCTTCTCACACCACCCTCAACCTCCCAAGTTTTTGGAATCCCGCTGGACCCTGAACCTCCTGCAGCCCTCCTATACCTCCTGAACTCATGACGTGTGTGGTGCTGCACAAAACGACATGTGACTTTGGCTTTCCTTCGTGCGCGATGCGCACACTGCACCCCACATTGGGCCGGCCCGGCTGCCGAGGCTGCGCCCGCAAGCGTTTACAATACATGGAAGTCTGACCGTTCGTCAAATCATCTATTCTGGCTCACACGAAGCACTATCAAGGACAAGTGTCCATCCCATCCGCAGATCACAGAGCCATTGGCATTATTGGTATCACTCGCGCCTCTCTGCCAGAGCCCTGAGGCTTCGGTTCTCCTGGAGAAGCTTCATCTTCGTCTCCTGCATCCGTTTCATCGAAACAGTTTCCAACAACCATGATTCTCCCTTCCTCCTCATTCGATACGTCGGTGTACCTTGCACTTCCCCAATGTTCATGGCGCCACACTTCGGATGACATGGCATACGCCGCAAGATTCAACGCATTGGATCTGTGGAGCTTCAGGCGCCCGCTTGCTCTGTGAAGCCGGTCGACGCATTCGGGAAGCTCGGTCCTGGCGGGGTCTGAGTCTGAACGGCTCAACCCCCCCCCCAAGATTTGCGGGACATTTCACAAAGAAATTTCTCACCCTTTCGGTGGCATCCTGAGCCTGAGCTGCAGATTTGCAGCCGCGCACCTCCTCTCGTCACCGCATAGGCGCTACAAAGGCGCTACAAAGGCTCCACAAAGCAGGGTGTGACAAATTGATGCCATCAGTGTGCCAAGGCGCCGAGCAACTTGCAGACCTTCGTGGCGCTGGAGCAGCGCCTCCCGATGGCCTGAGCTGCACATCAAAATCCACGGCAGCCCAGCGCGCTCGAGCAGAAGATAGCAGATAGCAAATGCCCAGACACTAGCAGCACTAGCTGCACTAGCGCAGACACTCACGCAAACGGCTAGCTGCAGAAGATAATCAGATGAGGTAAGGGCCTCCATGGGAGTTTCGAGCTCTGCGGCGTCTTCGGACTCCTGCATTCATCGAATGCAATGGCCGTCGCGGCGTCAGGATGAGTGCTACTCAAAATGACACTCCAACGCATCGGCAGCAAGCAAATCTGTAGCTTTTGTTACCAGACACACTCTCTTGCTGCTCTTTCTCGCACTCACTCAGCTCCACTCTCTCAGCTCCACTCTCTCAGCTCTCTCCCTTCAGCGAGAGGCCTGGCGTTCTCTGTCGAGAGCCTTCGTCTTGTTCGTTCAACTGGAGGACTTGGGCAGGCCTTCACAACAGCTTTCGAACAAACTCAGCGTAGCTGCCCGCGTGTAGTAGTATCTTGGCACTTGCCTTGTGGGCGCGGCGATCGCAGAGAGAATCCATTGCAAGCGCCGTCTCCTAAATTGAGCAGGGCTTCGCGACATGCTTCAGAAACGCGACACATTCGCTATGAAAGACAGTGCAAGAGTATCCTTCTGAAACAAGCACTCTGGGCACTGGACTCTTGGCCCATGCCGGCGAGACACTTCTGCCTTAGTGCTACACCGAACAACTGTAAAGCAGAAACAGGGCCGAGATTGTTCATGGCCGACTTTCGGTATCTCGACTCCCATTGCTCAAGCGGCGAGGATAGACGACACAAACTACAAGTACCGCACGGATCTTTACACACGTCGACCGAGCTGCCACCTGGAGCAAGTCGAGCGAAGATTCGGGCAAAGCCACTCAGCACAAAGCAAGGGAAACACATCTGAAATTGAGCTAGGCATAGCTGTGTCCAGGTACGCCGTCTGCGGAACAATCAAGCAGAAAAAGCATGGCTGTCAGGGGGACCTGTTGCATCATTCTCTGCCTATGCAACAGTATTGATACGTCAACCACGGATTTTACGGCAAGCGAAGACAGTTCTGGTTGAAACTAGTTTCGTCACATCTTATCGAGTGGGCATTTCGGCTCGTTTCTTGTCTACCTTGCTGTTCAGCGAGGGTTTGGGGCAACTTCTATCAACTTCTGTTGCGCAATTAAGTTCTCAGGAAAGTCTGAAACCCTCTACATGAAGATCCAACAATTGCAGGCTTTGCACCACGGTTGCCATCCTTGCAACTGTCGACGTTCCCTGGCTGAGCCCTGCAGTTCCCTGGTTATGAGAAGACATGCGCCAACGCAACAAACTTACATGCCGGCTCCTGCCACAACACACATAGACCCCGCCGCGGCGAAAAGGCACTTGAAGTTTAGTAATTTGTCGAGCCTCACTATTGAAATCCACAAGTGTAGGCCGGAATCACGCGACTGTTTTTGACAAGATTGCCAAGCTGTTGAGAGCACGAAGCTGCCTCCAAGCTGCCGTTCGCAAGGGTGATGTCGGGGCTGGAGTCATTCCCTGGCGTGTCAAGAACTTGCATCATCTCATATTTCCAGCTGTGGGCATTGAAGCCCTGACCTGCGAAGCATGATAGCCTCGACGGGGCGACGGGGTACTCGGAGACCTCGCCTTTTCAAGAAACACCAGCAAGATCCAGCAAGCATCAGCAGATACGCTGATTATCAGAATGAGCACGGTACCCAACAGGCTGACCAAGATGGCAGACCAGCGGCCATCACACCCAAAACCTCATCCGATCTCTTGTCTGAGCCTTAAAAGGCTACGAAATCATTTCAGGACTTGCGCGCAATTCCCTTGAGCACTTTCTTGAGTTCAGCGCTCTTCTTTCCCTTACCACTCTTCCTAAGTTTAAAACCTTCCCCTTCAGCACTCTGCTTGTCTTCACATTCTTGCTTAGAGTAACACTGCTACTCCCTTGCATGCTCCTCTTCGGTTCTATACTCTCCTTCCCTTCAGCACCCGCGACTTCAGTTTAAGATTGCTCCTCTTACGTCCTTTAACACTCTCATACTCTTTTATTGTTTTTCTTCTTCTTCATCTCTGCGTTCTTCTTCCCTTTCACACGCTTCATCACTTCAGCACGCTTCTGAACTTCAACGCTCTGCTCATTTTTTAACGCCCGTCTTCACTCCAACATGGCTCTTTACCTTAACGCAAATCTTCCTTTTAACGAATCTGTAACGCTCCTCTTCACTTGAACACGCTTCTTCCCATCAAAATGTTTCCTCCGTTGAACACATGTCTTCATTTCTTCAATGCAAGACTCTTCTTTCCGTTGTCAACCTTGATCACTTCAACTTCTTCATTTCAATCTCTTCCGACTCTTCTTGTCTTCAACACGCTTCTTTCTGCACTTCACTCTCTCAAGTCCTTAGAGAATGCCCGATGGACTCCTATGGACACTTTCCAAGGACTGCTACAAGCCCATGAAGCACTCGGATTCTGAGGCGGCCGGGTTTTAGGCACGAGAGCTTCGTGAAGCTTCGTAAAGCTTCGTAAGGCGAAGCTGAAGCTCAGCGCAGCCCAAATGGTTTCTCAACCAGCATACTTTAAACGGGGCAGACCATCATCAGGCAGCCGATACCAAGGTTGCATATAAGCACAACAGATGTGGATCACTCGGTACCACATCGCACCAGCAACCACACCTGAAATTCCTTCTCCAGAAGCCTTCTGCATCTGTGCATCATCAAGAGTACCAGCAGCCGGCCAAATGCAGTCCGGTTGAGAATCATAGACGATTGTCATCACGGTACCACAGCATGTGCATAGATGCCTTTGTCCATGGCCAGTTGTTCTCACCAGCCGTAGTGCTTCAGACTGTGTCCATTGAAAGCTGTCCTTGGATGCAGGCAGCCATGTCTGTGCCACAGAGCCAGACATCTGCCGGCAAAGTTTGCAGTAGCAGTGTTGCGCTTCACCTGGCAGCAGCTTCGCCTCGAAAGAACATTTGCCACAAGAGCAGCCGCCCTTCAATAGCAGGCTGCGGTGCGGGATTGTACATGCTCCAGGTCTTGCTTGCCACCACGACGGCTCACAGGAGCGATCCCAGTCCTCGTAAGAAGTCTGCCACTTGGACGAAAGTCCATCTGGAATCGAACCGTCTGCCACAGAGCCCAAACAAAGCAACACCTCGCCTCGTGGGGCAAGGCATCCGCCACATGACATACAAGTTGACTGCTGGAAGCAGCAGACCGGCCTTGTCTAGCTCCGCTGACTGGAACGACAGCCAATTTCGTGAAGCACTTCGAACACATCAGCCTCCAAGCAAAGTATTCCAACAAACAAATACACTTTAACAGGTGAATGTCAGGAGCCTGTCAACAGAGCCGAGAACTTTGCAGAACCCGCGCTGCTGGTAGATGTTTCCACCTATCACAGATGCGACACTGCTGGATATGCATGGACTCAGCATAGGACTCTTCTTTGGTCCCATTCACTACCGCCTGCCATGCGATCAGGCTGGTGAAGTCCAGCTGCAAGGTACGATGCAAAAGAGCTGGCTTGAAAACGGCGGCAGGCTGCGCAATAACACCGCGCCACATTCAGTGGTTGCGCTTCCAGGTTCCAGTCAATGGCACATGCTCTACAGTGGCACATCGTTGTAAGTCGGAGCGATTGGGGTGTTGCTGTACTTGATGCAGCTTGTTCTAGTTCATGGCGATTCAGTCGATCCAGTGGGGAACGGAACGATGCTGGATATTCACCTGAATTGTACAACACTGCATGTCTTGTGCTGCTAAATGCTGCACCGAAAGCCAAACAAAAGCCACATCTCAAGACCTGTCGCGACTTTCGCCATGCAGTCGTCGCTGCAGAAATCGCCATATCACCTCCTCCGGTACGCCTGGATTTGCAGCGGCCAACTCGGCCAAAAGTGTTTCCATGGCTGCAGGGGCTCCAGACATGGCATCTGACCAAGGTTCCTCAAGGATAGGTCCTAAAAATCTAAAATCAATCACAATGAGGCGAACATCTGCAACACAACAAATTAGCAGCCGAAGCTGTCAGGGCTTCCGTCTGCGTTGTTCGAGATAAACAAGAACTGGTTCATGAGCAAAATGGCTGAACCCCGTCTTACATAGTAGAGGAAGTACTGTCCAATATGCAGCCACAAGCAAGCAAAACCAGACCCAAGAAAACGAGAAGCAAGAGTAGCGAAGCCCCATGCCCGGAAGAACGATGACAACACATGATACTGGCAGCGTGAGGCGCGAGCGCGATTGAGGGAATCAGCGAGTGATCCACTGATTGAGTCCGTGTGTACTTAAAAGAGCAAGTAGACCAAGAGCGAAGCTGCAAGCGAAATGATGTCGAATCTTGGATGCGCAGGGCTTTGAAGTCCGGACCCTCCGATCAAACCCGACCTGCTAGAGACCACGTATGGACGCCCGCCGTTGCGGGACCCCTAGGTGTCGGACTGGCTAGGCCCCACGAAGCTCCCACCAAAAACAGACTCAATTTTACAAAATGATCTCGCAGGAACCTTCACCCTAAAACCCTCAATTGGAGCCGCGACCTGCTGACCCTATGACAGTTCTGTGGCCCCATATGAACCCCCTATGAGCCCCCTTTTTTGGGGACGGCCATATTATGCACCTCCAAAGACTGTTACAGCTGTGGTCCTTGTAGGTGCACGTTGCCTTGAAGCGGCTCCAAAAATATGAAGCATCTGGCAGAAAGAGGTATGCATAGGTGAAAGGACTGCTAGGTTTGTGCATTGTGTATTGTTGTGTATTGCAGGTTTAGTGCCACACCTGCTCAGCGCACTGTTCTGCCCGATGCAGTCACCGGAGAGTCCAGGCCTCAGGCCTGCGCCGATTGTTGCCCCTTGTAATTAAAGCTTTGTGTGAAACAACTGTAGCGCTCTGGAGCCGTAAGAAATTCTGCAACATCTGCCCATACAGTAGAAGCTGCGCTGCGGTGAATTGGGGGGCCTGCCCGTCAGTACTCTTACGGTGTTGTTGGGTATGGTGGGCCTTGTGGGGTCCAGAACCTTTGCATGGTATGTGGTACCTCGACATAGGAACGAACGACAGAAATGGTGAAGTGCTTTGACATGTTTTCTGGCTTTGCCCAATCTTTCTGTGAACTCCTTGCTGGACTGACCTGCCTACCCCCCTTCTGTGGAACCGCCCCTGACTTACCTTTCTGGAGCCAGCCCGGAATCAAGGGACATGCTGCGTTCCCACGCAAAGTGACATCTAGAAATGCAGCTCACGTGCAGGCTGCGTCGAGGGGCCGCGTAGCATCGATATTCGCAACCAGAGGACTTTAGTCGGGGCTTGCCTCTGCTATACTGGCTGCCGGTCAGGTTCCAGAAGTCCGGGGGCTTAGGTTGGTACCCGTGCCAGCGCACCAGAACATGGCACGAGACCAAAAAGCCCTCGAAACAGAACCCATGACCCCATGACTGCTTGATGCTACACTGAAAGAAGCTGCCAACAAGTGGTCCGCTGTTACTACACCCAGAAGCACAACTTTTTTCACACGGCCTCCAAGCAATGCTCATGCCAAAGCTTGGCTTGAGCGTCGGCACAGCGCTCCCAATGATGCAAACATGTGCAGACACTGCTACATTGCCTTTGTCTTTCGATTATCTGAGCGCTTTGCATTCTCAGAGCTTTGTCAATAGAATCTCCATTCACTGGGGGCGCACTCTAAGACATTAGCTCTGGCACTTGATGTTGACCTCAGGCTGGCAACCGCCCTGCATATTATGACAGCGGCATTAAGGGTCCGACTTGGATCAAAAGCACTCAGCACTAGAATCCGCATTCCTCAAAAACTGAAACCCTAAAGCCTTCAATGCCCCTGACATGCCCAACATGCTCCAGACTCTGCTGCCATGGACACCCACCATCCTTCCAACCACAGTATTGCTGCTTTTGTTTCTTTTTTGCGTTTGAGAAGCTCTTGGCGGGAGGCTCGCATCTGATCAAGAGTAGTTGGAACCGACTTCGCAACTTTTCATGGAGATCTCAAGCTTCCAAGCTCCGCACAACCTGAATCCTTTTTTGTCTCAGTCCACGTAAGGGAACTACAGCTTCCTGACTTGTAAGGCAATCGCAATCGACGATACTCAGGCTTGAACGTATGCAGCATGCCAGTTGATCAGAAGTCAACAATCAGCCACCGCGGTAGGAACACAGCTGTTAGCACGTAGCTCCTCTCCATGGCGTGCTCACTGACCTCGCCCATCTCTATGTACAAGAAGCCTCACGCTTTCCGGGTGACCTCGCAGGTCAGATGGGCACACTCCAAGACCGGCGATCATGGAAGTCAGAGCCCCCAGCGCTACAAACAGATGATGGCGGCGGAGGCAGCAAAGGCAGTGCAAAAGCCGTGGAGCCTAGCAACATCTAGCAACATCGCATCAGCGGCTCTAGCGGTTCTAGTGTTTGCAAGCCTCCCGTAATGCTTTGCATGTTCAAGCTGGCTAACCATGCCGGCATGTCCACCGACAGACTTCGGCTTTGTCTCAATGAGATCATCCAGTAAGCCTCATAAGCAGCACCACTGAAGAACAAGAAGGCCATCGCGCTCTTTTCTGTCCTTACCAGCCTTACCTATGTCTGACTTCAAACTCAAGAAGTCTCCAGTGCTGAGCCAAATTAGACAAGCATGCCAAGCCAGCTGAGCCCTGCCTGGAGCCGAAGGCGACGTATCTCAGCACATGCACATGCGAAACAAAAACAACCGACGAGACAGTGGCCACATCCCCAAAGATTGGGCAGTGGCCCTGCACCACCATCTGGGCCAAATCCTAGACCGCGGCACCACGACTCATGCACCACAACCTAACTGTCGGACAGCTTTGCGTTCGCGGCCTTGCAGCGCAGCCTCACGAACTTCTGTATCTCTTGACCATGCTTCGTGCTGAAGGCGATGACCTGCACAGGGGGAGCTCAGCCAAGCCTCCGAGAACTGCACTATGGCATACCATGGCATACCTGGCCTCCTGCCGAAGCTGAGTCTCAACACACGTCCAGGAACCCGTACCTGCGCTTTTCAAGCAAGACACTGCTCCTCAAGTCACTTAGGGCAAAAGGCTCCGGCGCTCCAGTTTCTCGCAAACAGCAATGAAATCCGACAGATCCTGCACGCTTCCTTCCACCTGCGAATCGCGCGACAATGGCATGCCGGCAAGACTCAAGAGATCTGCGGGTCGCCACACACATTGTGGCACAGCTCGACGCTTGATTCAAGAACTGGCAGTGTGACGACAGTACAGGACAGCACAAGGAGACTATTGCCACGAGTTGCCACGGTGAGCAGTCCATTGATCCTGTGGGTTTTGAGAAGAGCCAAGAAATCACCCCTGGAGTCTTCCTGGAGTCTCCCTGAATCTCCCTGAACGATCTGCACTGACGTGCACTGCACACTGCGCATCACGGCGCGACTCGCACGGCTCAGAACCCTTCGAGAGCGTTTTAGTCCTGCTACACGACTTTGATCGCGCTTGCACACGCCAGAAACATGTTGACTAGGCAAGGCTGAGGAGGTCTTGGGCTCCATCGCAAAAGTGACACTGCAAGGGTCTTTGAGAGTCTTGGTCCAAGAATGGTCAAGAGATTAAAAGGCCTGTCTTCCACGACACACCGACACGTTTGCGGAAAGGCCTTCGTTTGCTCCTCCCTCGTCGACACACGCAAAGCTACTACATGTGTCAAGCTCGGCAAGACCCTATCGAATTGGTTCCTTGTCATTCCTTGTCCTCATCCTGGATGGCAGAACCTTCTGTGAAACTGCTTTGACACAACTGGTCGTCTCCAACATCACATGCCAAGGCTTGTTCTCCAGAGCAACCATCAAAGCTTTTCGCCGCTATGAAACAGCGTCAATCAAAGCTTTGCGCTTGAATGCTCTTCCGATCGAGGTACACGTGAGAACGCTTCCTTCTTTCTTCGCGCTAATTGGTTACAGAGCTGCAGCTGCTTTTCTTGCTGTGTCTCTTAATCTCTGCCTCTGCCTCAGCACACCGCAACGGTTCTGGGGATGCAAGGTTAGGCATCTGAACCGTTTGACAGGGACAGGCCGCGCTCTTGAGAGCCTCTTGGGCAGTTTTCAGCACCGCCACGCATTGCCTTTCTAAGGGCATGCTTGGGTTGCTTGGGTTGCTTGGACATAATGACATAGCTCTTCGATGCTCACTCGGGGTCCATGGATTTGTCCGGGTTGACCGTCCTAGATCTCCAGAATAACCCATACTGTACTTGGCAGGCTCGGCGGCGGATCGGCGCGCGCGGCACAGAGGCAGAGGACGACACACACAAAGCATGGCGTTGCTGACATAGGGACATAGGGAGGCAGAGAGAATGAACCACAAAAAACTAGCCTGCACACGCTTCTTACAATCAGGGGAGATTGAGCGCAAGTGACCCTGGTAGCCAGCGTGGTCCCACATCTCTCTCTTCTAAGGTTGAGGATGCACAGGAAATGTCGTACGTAAGAGCAGCGGAGTTCTTTGCAGCGCCTTGTGATCATCCATGGCTGCGTTGGCTACATCCTCAACTGGCATTGTATCCTCTTGGCCAGCCCCTCGAGGACACACCTTTTCAGCTGCACTTTCGATCTTAAACGTCATTGGAAAGTGTACCTGACACTGGAATAAGGCTGCAGCAACCAAAGAGTTTGTTTCGGATGCCGCCGCTGTCAAGGCATGGCGTAAACGTGAAAACCGCCTTGCACATCATCGGCTAAATTGTCACAAATCAAGACTTTCGTGCAAAAAGACCTTGACAAATCTTTCGGCAAGCCAGCAAGCAAATCAGCCGCTGAGCTCTCACCATCGACCTCTCAGGCATGCCACGTGTGCCACTACCACTCGGGCCGCTCGAGTACCGGTCACAGCACGGCCTTTGCAACCAGATCCGATAGGGGAACTCGCAACGCGGCCATTGCCTGCGGCAAAGCAATGCTCGGGAAGGCGACTCCAGAAAACACCTCTCTTGCCGCCCGCCTTCTTCAGTTGCTCGCGCTGCTTCACTTCAAACCTCGGCTCACGTATTTTTCATTATCTCTCGAACCCAACACGTCCGAATCACCTGCTCGACCAGCCAAGTCTCGGGCAAGTCTTCCGGTCTACGCAAAGATGCAGCCTGAATGTCCTCGTTGATACCAGCCTGTCACGCAAACACAACGGAGGCCCAGACATCATGACATATCATGACTATGACAGACCGGCGCCTCATCTTCTGCCGACAAAGAAAAGAAGCGGCCCACAGTTTCGGCTGCCCCAAGCAACTTCCAAGTCAGCGAAACATCCTGCATGTCTGTTGGATTTGATGCTTCCCAAATTCCCAACTGCTCCCGATTATGCAACTGTTGGCTGGACTGCAAGGTCAGCAAAAAAACCAACAACACCAATCAGTAGCCCAAACGGTTGTCACAACTTGACGTACTCAGATACAAAAACTGCAACCAACGACAATTTTGCAAACCCATGTTTCGAAACAGAGACACACGTGCTTCTCCTTCTTATTATCTTATTATCATTCTGATTACAATTATTCTTCTTCCTCTTCTTTTTTTCTTCTTCGTCTTCTTCTTTTTCTTCTTCTTATTATTCTTCTTCTTCTTCTTATTCTTCGTTTTCTTCTCTTTCTCCTTCTTCTTCTTCTGCTGCTGCTGCGGCAAGTGCACCACGTCCGCTCACACACCAGCCCAAGACCAGTGACACCTTTTTGGCTTTGGACCCGTCACCACAACGACGCAACAGATGAGGCCGCCAAAAACACACAACTACAAAGGCATCAAAGGCGCCTGAACTTGTGGAGGCACTAAGGAAGGCCCGCAACGCTTGCAGCTAGTTCAAACGGCGAACCTTGTTTTCGCGCTGCAACAATACAGGGTAGATGTTTGGGTGCACCAACTTATGCAGCACGGGCTTGCTGCGCAATTCATCTTTCAGCCTTCCCAATGCTTTGCTTGGACCCCCCTATGGGTCTTGCAAACCTGGATGTTGTAAATCTTGGGCTCCTTCACTGAATGTGAGTCAGCACTTGAGCTTTCCCTACATTCTGCGGTTTCAACAGGGCGGTTAACTCCGGCTTATGTGGCAAAGCTGAGCGAGTGTAGAGTGCATACAGTGCCTGTGGAGTCAACGTTCATTGTACCAAAAGATACTCGGCAACCGCCGCATGAGCTCTTTAACACCCTTCCTGATAATTGCAGATCTAGTTCGCAGACAGTTGTTGGCGTCCCAAGCACTGTCCTGGTCGCTTACGCCCCTACGGTAGTATGGAATGTGTATCGTGGGCGAGGCAAGCCCGAAAGCAGTGCGATGCTTGAATTAGTAGTTAACTCTCCTAGTTTGCATCGTCTGCATCTCTGCAGTGACAGTATGCACAAACCCCAAAAGCGGTGGACCCGGTAGACCTAACAGCCCTACACCCTGAAAGCCCGAAATCCAAAAAGTCTGCAAAAATCTGAAAGTTCGGAACTTGAAAGCCTTCAACCCCAAGAGCCCGAACCCTAAACACCCTGAACCTTAAAAACCCAGAACCCTACAAAGCCCCAAACCCTGAAAGCCCTGAACCCCGAAAGCCCTCAGCACTAAACCCCCACCCTGAAAGCCGGCCCCAAACGGGCTGCCGGATCAAAATAAAAATAAAAAAGGATCAAAAAAAAAATAACGCAGCCCAGGATCAAAAAACAAATAAAAAAGGATCAAAAAGAAAATAAACTTCGACTTCGAGTACGAAAACTCGAGTTTTGGTACGTTTTCGGAACCCGATCGAGGACCCTCTCACACGAAACGCGTGTCGACGTGCTAAAACTCGAGTTTTGGAAAGGTTTTCCGGGCACGATTGACGACCCGCCCTCTCACACGAAACGCATCTCGAGGCGCGAAAACTCGAGTTTTTGTACGTGTTCGAAGCACTATCGACAACCCTCTCACACAAAACGCATCTCGAGGCGCTTAAACTCGAGTTTTGGTACGTTGTTCCCGACGCGATCGACCAATATATTCTGCATATCTATACTTATTTTATTGATATTTATGTTTCTATTAATATCAATATTATTATGATTCATATTAATTTAACATAACATATCATGTACAATATAAAATATTATCATGGAATATATAATAAAATATTGAAAAAACAAACGGCAATATAATATACTATATTAAAATGGATATCATATAAGATATCATAAAAAATACATTATAAAACATATGAAATAATATAATATAATGTAATATAATATAAAATAGTAGTTTATGATATACTATAAGATAATAGTTTATGATATAATATCATATAATACAAACTGTTTCATTTATAGTACAAAACATAGAATAAATAATACTTAATATTTAATGTCTAATATATATATATATATATAGCCTTCAATAAATGTGTATAATATAATATAATATTATATAACTATATTATGATACTTAATATCTAAGACCTAATTCGAAATATAAAATACATAATAATGGGAATTTATAATAAACTACATATAAAATATAAAATATAATGTATGATATAAATACAATAGTAGTAATAGTAGTAGTAGTAGTAATAGTAAAAATATAATCGTAGTAGTATAGTAATAGTAGTATACTAGTATAGTAGTAGTAGTAGTAGTAGTAGTAGTAGTAGTAGTAGTAGTAGTAGTAGTAGTAGTAGTAGTAGTAGTAGTAGTAGTAGTAGTAGTCGTCGTAGTCGTAGTCGTAGTAGTAGTAACAGTAGTAGTAGTAGTAGTAGTAGTAGTAGCAGCAGTAAGAATAGTAATAGGTAGTAGTAATAGAAAATAGTAGTAATAGTAGTAATAGTAGTAGTAGTATAGTAGTAGTACTAGTACTAGTAGTAGTACTAGTACTAGTAATAGTAGTAGTAGTAGTAGTAGTAGTAGCAGTAGCAGTAATAGTAGTAGTAGTAGTAGTAGTAGTAGTAGTAGTAGTAGTATCGTAGTAGTAATCGTAATAATAATCGTCGTAGTAGTAGTAGTAGTAGCAGTAGTAGTAGTAGTAGTGGTAGTGGTAGTAGGAGTAGGAGTAGGAGTAATAGTAATAATAATAGTAGTAGTAGTAATATTAGTAGTAATAATAATAATAATAGTACTGGTAATAACTAATAATATTAATAGTAATATTCATAAAAAATAATAATAGTAGTAATAATAATAATAGAAGTAGTAGTAGTACGTAGTAGTAGTAGTAGTAGTAATAATAATAATAATAGTAGTTGTAATAATAGTAGTGATAGTAATAGTAATATTAGTAGTAGTAGTAGTAATGGTAATACTAGTAGTAGTAATAATAAGTGTATAATAGTAATAGTAGTAATAATAATAGTAGTAATAATTGTAGTAATAGTAATAGTAATACTAGTAGTAATAATAGTAATAATAATAATAATAGTAGGAGCAGCAGCAGCAGCAGCAGTCGCAGTCGCAGGATAGTAGTAGTAGTAGTAGTAGTAGTAGTAGTAGTAGTAGTGATAATAGTAGTAGTAGTAGTAGTAGTAGTCGTAGTAGTAGTAGTAGTAGTAGTAGTAGTAGTAGTAGTAGTAATAGTAGTAGTAGTAGTAGTAGTAGTAATAATAGTACTAGTAGTAGTAGTAGTAGTAGTAGTAATAATAATAGTAGTAATAGTAGTAGTAATAGTAGTGGTAGTGGGAGTAATAGTAATAATAGTAGTAGTAATAGTAGTAGTACTAGTAGTAGTAGTAGTAGTAGTAGTAGTAATAGTAGTAGTAGTAGTAGTAGTAGTAGTAATAGTAGTAGCAGTAGTAATAGTAGTAATAGTAGTAGTAGTAGTAGTAGTAGTAGTAGTAGTAGTTATAGTAGCAGTCCCAATTGCAAACAATGCTCGCATCATGGGTCTCGAAGAGACGCGTAGGCTTTGAAGCAGGCTTGCGCGATTTAAAAAAGCGGGGGTCTGGGGGGGGGGGGGGGGGTGCAGCCCCCCCCCCCCCCCCCCCACACACGCAAACACAATGCTCGCATCATTAATGTCGAACAGACGCCTATTTTCGAAGCAAGCTTACGTGACTTAAAAAGCGGGGGGGTTGGGGGGGGGCGCAGCCCCCCCCATTTGCAAACACAATCCTCGCACCATGGCTTTCGATACACGTGTATGTGTTGAAGCAAGCTCGTGCGACTTAAAAAAAGAAGCCAACGAGGAGAGCCAGGAAGCCAAGAAGCCAAGAAGCCAAGAAGCCAAGAAGCCAAGAAGCCGTGAAGCCAAGAGTCAGAACTCGGGGTTTTAGCACCTCGAAATGCGTGTCGTGTGAGAGGGTCGTCAATCGTGCTCTGAAAACGTACCAAAACTCGAGTTTTGGAGTCTCGAGACGCATTTCGTGTGAGAGGGTCGTCGATCGCGGCCTTATTTTTTTTTGATACTTTTTTATTTTCTTTTTGATCCTTTTTTTTCTTTTTGATCCTTTTTTATTTTTTTTTTGATCCCTATCCCGGCCCCAAACCGCATTAGCCCTAGAAGCACTAAACCCAAAAAACAAAGCCCTAAACCCTACAGGCCCTAAATTCTACACGCCCTAACGACAAGCCCTAAACCCTAAAAGCCCCAAACCCTAAAAGCCCTAACCCTAAAAGCCCTGCACCCTAAAAGCCTTAAACCCTAAAAGCTTTAGACCCTAAAAGGCCCTAAAAGCCCTGCACCCTAAAAGCCTTAAACCCAAAAGCTCTAGACCCTCAAAGCCCTAAACCCTTTCAAGCTCTAAACAATGACAACCGTAAACCCTGAAAGCCCTGAATCCGAAAAGCCCTTACCCCTGCAAGCCCTAACCCCTAACAGCCCGAAACCCTAAAAGCCCTAAACCATAGCACCCTTGTCCCTTGAAGCACTGAAATAGAGAAAGACCTAAAAAACCACCCAGCCCGAAACCTAAAAAGTCCAAACGCTGAAGCCCTAAACCCCTGCAATCCCCAAAAGGCATAACCCTAAACCCTAAAAAACCTGACCCCCAAAAGCTGTAAACCACAAAAGCTCCCAAACCCGCGAAGCCCTCAACCCCGCATGCCCTAAAACCTGAAAGGCATGAACCCCACAAGCCCTGAACCCTCGAAGCCGTAAAGGCCGTGAAGCCCAAAAGCCCCTAACCCAAAAAGCCCTAAACAACATAAACGCCCGAAACGCTGAAACCCCTAAGCCCCAACACGAAAAAGCCGTAAACCCTAAAGAGCCCTGAACCCCAAAACCGTAAACCCTAAAACCCTCAACTCTGAAAGCCAAAAACCCTAAAAGCCCTGCATGTTTGCTCGTGCACACCTTGTCGCATGAAAAGAACATGTGAAATCTATATTTTCTGACTATTGTGCGATCTTTTTGGCAGGTGGGTATTTCTTCACAAGCGATTGACACCCTAAACCCAAAACCCTAAACCCTGAAAGCCCGAAGCCCAAAAAGCACGGAACCAAGCAGCACTAAGCCCTATAAGCCGTAAACCCTATATAAAAGGCCCCGTGCTCCAAACCTTGAAAGCCACAAACCCAAAAGCCCTTTAACCCTAAAGCCCTAAAGATCCTCAACCTAAAAGCCCTACATTCGAAAAAGTCTCGAAAAGCCGTGACCTGAAAGCCCTCAACCCTGCAGCCCTAAACCCTAAAATGCCTAAAGCCGCAGACCCTAAAGGCCCTGAATCCTAGCTGTGAACCTTAAGAAGCCCTGCATCCTAAAAGCCGCAAAGCCCTAAGACCCTGAAAAGCCCTAAGCGAAACCCTTCAGGCCTGTAAACCCTAGAAGCCCCAAGTCCTCAAGACCCTAATCCCTACGCCATAACAAAAGCCTTAAAAGCCCCAAACCCCAAACGCCTTGAAGACCCTAAAAGCCAAAACCTGAAAGCTCCAAACCCAAAAAGCCCGAATTGGGAAACCCCTTTTCGGCCTCATGCTGCGATGCATTGGAGGGTAGCCCAACCGTGCAGTAGCCCTGATGTTCCCCAGATGAAGAAGGCGGGAGCATTGGTGACGGAGACTGTGGAATACGAACCAGTTCAAAACACACAGAGCATCAACATCCTGGATGAACCCAAGATGGAAGATGAGCTCAGTGAGACATTCGCTCACCTGAGTGCCGGGGTGGAGAGGTCGATCACAGGCCGAATCGAAGGCATGGGTGTTAAATCGGAGATTGTCCGGAAGAAGTTGGTGGTCAACAACCCGGAGAACGTTGTCTGGACAGGCAAGAGGGCGGCCTTTTGGAACAGGGTCCAACAATGGGTCAAACAAGGCAGACATCATGGCGATGCGCATCCGGCGGCGCGTCTGGTCCAACGCAGGCTCGGCGAGTATTACGAGGGTGATGCGCAGAACCAGGAGGATATGCTCGTGAGTATCCTGGGCCGGGGTACGGACGCTAGACTTGTTCTGGTTTCACGATTTCATCCAAGAAGACAGGGTTTGTGGCCAGCAGTACCCAGGCGAGCAAACCTGCGAGAACTCCTGTTGCCTCATGAGCCACAGGTGTACGACGTGATGCGTGACTTGGGCGTCGACAGTACAGGGGGGCGAAAGCGTCGCTTGGTGACGTCGGCAACGCGGGCCAAGAAAGTCCATGCGAGACATAGCAAACTGTCCAGGCTGGGGCCGCCGCCCAGCACTAAACTCCGCGTGGTCAAGGCAGCGATCACATCCGTTGCTTTGTGGGGGCACCCCTCTGTGGGGGTATCACCCAAAAGAATGAAATGGCTCCGAACAGTGGCAGGAAAACACCTGGGTAAATACAAGCTTGGGAGTTTGGAAACCATCTTGCACATGGGAGCCAAGAAATGCCAGGATCCAAAGCGCACAATCCACAAGCAGCATTTCAAGGTGGTGGCCAAAGTTTTCCGTGCATGGATTGGTGGCGGAAAAGCCCACTTTGACTTGGCCTGGAAAACCACTTGGAAGAGGTTGAGTGCGGCCAAACACCACTGGCCACTGGTCACGGGGCCGATGGCAGCAACCATGGCGCACTTAATGGATCTGAAGGTGGATGCCAGTGACCCAGGCAAATGGAAGAGAGGAAGTGTTCTTAACGTTGATTGGACCCAGCCACGCATGGCGCCTTTGCTGAGGGAGTGTAATTCGGCCTCGCGGTGCCGCGTGCTTGCGACATCGCCGGACAAGGCGGGCCTGTAGCAATGAGGCAATGGAAGACGGATGCTACGATGAGAAGACAAGGGTCCCGACTGCCATTCTGGTTAAGGAATCGGCCGGACAAAGGCAAGGGCAAAAGCAAGAACAAGCAGAAGGATCAGCCCCGTGAACGTTCCCCGCTTCGACGCCAGACACCCGGAGCAGCCTTGGGATAGTGAAGAGGAGAGAGCTTCGGAATCTCCGGTGGGTCCGGTACGCCTACGGGAGAGAGGAGAAGACAGTACGGCCTCGCATCAAGCTGAGGGTGTCAATGAAGAGCAAGAGGCAAGCCAGCCTCGTACAGTCACGCTGGCGGAAGGGCCAGGTGCCCACAATATGGCCTCGCAGGAAGCTGAGGGAAAGGAGAAAATGAAAGCCATGGGGCAAGTCAAGCCTGTGCACCTTTTGGTGCATAAACTACAGAATCAGCAAAGGCCAAAGACAGCGCTCCATTGGCTTGGGGAGGTCCAATTGGTCCGCAACCCAACGACAGGGCAAAGCTTACAGCCTAGGGTGCTTCCCTTTATAGGTGCGGGGCGCACTCGACGAGGATATGCTCTGGATCGGCTATGGGTCATGAAACTAGCGATGGAACCCCAGAGCTTTGGCAACGAAGCAGGGTATGGGGAACAATTCCCCACCCTGGTCACCAGGACCCTGTGGGCAGGATGGATTGGAGTCCTTTTCGACGAAGCGGTGGAGGGTTACTGCCACCACTACTTCTATGGAAGTATCATCCGCAGGGCAGAGCTGTTCAACACATGGTGGCAGGAACATCGCCATGAAGCCGGGGTCCTCAGACAGTCCCTGTTTTACCTGGTGGCTGTAACGTCATGGCTGACCATGCGAAAGCTCCAAACCCAAAAAGCCCGAAACCCTGGAACCCCTGAGCCCCAACAGCCCTAAACACTAAAAGCTAAACCGCACAAAGCCTTAAACCTAAAAGCCCTAAACCTCAAAAGCCGAAAAACCTGAAATCTCGAAACCCTAAAAGCCGAAAAGCCCTAAAATCCTTGAACCCTGAAAGCCTTGAACCCTTGAGGCCCGAAAAGCCCTAAACCCGCAGGCCCAGCCCGAAACCCTGAAAGCCTGAAAGCCTTGAAAGCCTTGAAAGCTGAAAGCCCTAAACCCTGAAGGCCCCCTCAACCCCAAAAGCCCTAAGCCCCATTAGCCGAAACCTAAACCCGGAAAACCCTAAACCCTCAAAGCCTAGCGTACAAAAGGCCTGAACCCTAAAGGCCTTATTACACCCTACGAATCCTAAACAAAGGTAAACCCTAAACCTTAAAGGCCCTGAACCTCCTCACGGCCCTAAACCCTGAAGACTCTGAACTCTCAAAGCCCCCAAACCCCAAAAGACCTATGCCCGAAAAGCTCTCTCTGCTTCAATCCCGGCTTCACCCTCCCCCATACCCCACCGGACAACCTGCAGAGTCTGATTACACAGGTTTAAGGTTTCGGTTTTGGGGGACATACTGCAAATACGCTGAAATCTTGTGAGAAGGGCCCTTCTTGTGCAAAAAACAATTTACATCACTCACCCCGTAGGTGCAAGGTCTCAGTTTGAAGAGTAAGGGAAGCAGAATATCACCCTGGCCGGGCAAGAGAGCTCAATGTCACCGGAGTTACGTTTTCTTGTGTTTGCTTCATTTCTGTTTTGTTTTACTGCACTTGCTTTAGTTATGTCTTTTGTTTTGTTCCTTTATGTTTTTTGTTTATCTCATTGTTTCAATTTATGTTGTGTACGTTCTTTGCTGTCTGTGCGTTGTTGTTTAGATGCTTTGCTGTATTTGCATACTCATTTTCTTCTTATTGCTTATTTCTTGTTTATTCATGTTTTGCTTTGATTTTCTTCATTTTGTTTTCTTATTTACTCTATCTTCGGTATTTGCTTTATTCGTCTTTTGATGTATACCATTGGTTCTCTATCTCGTTGTTCATGTAGTTTTTGCATTGTTTCTTGTATTTCATGTATCTAGTTTATGTCAGTCATTTCAGTTGCTTTATTTTTTTCTATTTCACCCAACAATCCAAATTCTAAGCCCCCAAGGCCGGAGCCTAATCCGCTCCCCTTTGTACAAAACAAAACAGGCTCGAAAGCGTGTTGAACAGTAAAGTGGAGAACTTCGGATGCTTCCTCAGGTCTGTTCGTGGGCGGAAGGGAGTGAGAAACGTTGTCTGTGCTTTGTCCCGGCTTTTGCCAAGGCCTTCAGGTCCGAGACTCCAAACCTTCAAGCCACTAAATCAACCATAAATCGTAAGCTGACTTTCCCCGTGATACGGGTCCAAGCTCAGGCACGGCCCTTATCGGCCCTTCTGTCGAACGAAGATGGACTCTCACAAAACCCAACCTCGCAAACCTGTGAAACTGTGATCTGCTTTGGAGAAGAAAGGGTCCACATGTGGGAAACAAATGCGCTCCAAATTTTGTCACATCGACAAACCACCACGTTGACGAGTTCACAGTGAAAGAGGCGTCTTTTGTCCCACAACAAAACCACACTTCAAGCCGCCACACAGAAAACACCTACAAGAAAGTGAAAATGCAATGCTCGGCTGACGCCAAGCACATCTCGCAGACACCGTGCTCCATGCATGTTTGCACAGCGTCTGCGCGTTGCCGTGCTAATATTTCATGTTTGTTCTCAGCTTTCGCATTGTCCGTTAGTTTGCGCATCTCAGTGCTAAACATGAGACCCAACTTCAATTGCAAGGCCTCCGATCGCTGTTGGTTCTTGTGACAAACCCTCTAGCGAAGGGACGAAAACGTGAAAAGAAGCATTCTCTCTCCTCCACCCGATCTGACGCCGCCCGCTGCGCGTCGAGGCGAAGCTCCAGGCCCAGGTGCTGGCATGTTGTGTCAAGAAGGTATAAGCCGAAATTCTTGACCGAGGGGAAACGACGGAAAAGCCAAAGAATGCCTCTGGCAAAAGAATGAGAGGACCATCGCGCGGTTCAGTGTTCGACTGCAAGCAGGCATCACATGATTGGCTGATACTCTTACCACACAACAGACTCTCACCGGACACAGACCGGACACAGACCTGATACAAACCATAGCCCATGGCATTGCGCCGCAGGCAATAGATTCCACCGCCTGCAACACGTCTGACATCGTCTCCGAGTCTCAACATTCAAATGCTAAAAGTGATCAAGCCTGTTGCCGAATCGCGTTTGATCTCGGAGACTCCCATAGGTTCCTGGGCCTCCGGGCGTTCGTTAGACCAGCGATGAAAGGACAAGCGAACAAAGAACGACAGCCTCGAAGCGAACTACCTTCACCCACAGAGCCGTGAGGCTCTCCAAAGCCTCACGACAAGGCATGAACTTTGCAGCTTTGCAGAAAGGCCACTGACTGCAATTGCGAGAAAAAATAGAACAGTTTGCAACGTTGCAACTCGCAACCTCCTGAAGGACGTCAGATGGCAAGCTCGTGTCTTGCTGAAACGATGGTATCGGCCTCAGCAACTGAGGGACTCCAAGGAGGCGATCTGATCGGTTTCTGCATTTCTGAGAACCTGACGCCGTACCGGACATGCCTTGAGGTAGAATCTCACCGGCACAGTCCTTCAGTAGTATGCATTTCGGTATGAAACTGATCATGAAACTTGAGATTGGGGCTACGAAAGCTAGACAAACGCCGGACAGCGAAGCCACGCATTTTCGAGGGATGAATGAGCCCCCTGAAACTTCTTGACTTGAAGCAAGTAGACACTCTAAGTCCTAGACCCTAAGCCCAAACCCAACGCTGTCAGTGTGCATGTGGGTCGGCGGATAGGGAGCTTGGATTTTCAGGGCCCAATGAACGATGGCATCTGACAAATCGAAATAAGAAGCCTGCAAGGGGGGACGTGGGGGGGGGGGGGAGGCTGATGGGAGGGGAGACGTGCGCACGCACAGCTGCTAGAGGCAATACAGAAAGTACCTTGCGATGGCGTGGGCGGTTAGGCGTGACTTTGTGAAGGAGCCACTTTTCGAGGGCCACCTGTGTTTTGCGCTCTATGGCTCGATCTGCATCAAGCCAGAGGGCCATTCTTGACTTGAAGCAAGCCGAGACACCCTAAAGACACCCTCAGTCCTAGACTCCAAGCCCATCGCATTTTCTGCTGAGCATCAGCGGCTGACTCTATCTTTGACACTGGCGTGTGACGCAGGAGCTGTGTGGCAAAATCCCATCTTCCAGCCTTCTCACAAGCAGTGAATAGCAGTGAATAGCAGTGGTGGCTGAGCACATGGAAACGACGCTGGCTTGCAGCTTTCGCTCAAAGCTCTGTCGTACTTAGGGCGGCTTGGAGAGATGTCGAGCAGGATGGCAAGGTTTTGCGCACGCTACAGTGCCGCTACAGCAAAGCAGACCGCATGCCGTAAGCTCCCATGCTGCTTGTTCCCAAGCGCTGAAAAAACCGCATCGTCGGTTACTTAAGCTTGGCAACCGGCAAGATGCTGAGACCGATATGGCTGCACGGAAGCTAACCAACATCAAGATGTCCAGCAGCCCTCAGCTGATCAAACGGCCTGGGCGCTAGGCCCACTCGGCGCTGCTCCGGCTCAGCGCAAGAACTTCACCATTGGCGCATGGCGATAAATTGCATTTGCACTCAGGTAACGCAAGGCCTGGCAAACGGCATCCGCAGGCTCCAACGAACAGGTCTCCATGCACGTGTAACCGAAACGCGAATAGAACCTCACAGCAGCCAGGGTCGACAGAAGAATGATGGCCTTGTACCCCTTTCGAGATGCCTCCATGTCCAGTGTCGTCATAAGGCTGGTACTGGATCCAGATGCTTCGTAAGCCCCGACTCCTTCCACCTCAAGGATGCACTCCCCAGTTGACAAAACATTGGTCTTGCCCATAAGACCACCCACTACTTTGCAAGCTGTGAACACCATGGATGGGCATTGCTCCATCTCCTCAACCGTGTGTACTGCATCCCCAAGATCGCCAACCAAGCGAGCCAGGATCAAACGCTGAGTCTCATACTTCATGTCTGCCGCGGGCTCGCTTTGGATGAATGCAGGGGCATGCTGAAGGGCATGCCATTTGAGACTTGCGGGCCAGGCCTCTTGCGTCAGCTCATCGGCATCATAATCCGCAGCTTTGAACTGTTTCATGGCCTTCCCTTCTCGCAAAAGGCGTTTCCCAAGAACGTCTATGGCCTATGGCGTGCAGTTTTCGCCATGCACGTTGGATCACTGCTGCGAAATAATCTTCGTCAGCCGCGTGTCCAACTGTTGTGTTGATTCTGGGGAGGAGGTTTGGTCTTGCAAACTCTGGCCACCATTCCTGCACGGAACTTTGCAACCCAGCTTCAAGGTCTACATCAAGGTCGTCCCTGTTGCCTACATTGCCCCCAATTCTGGAAAAGCATGCCCGAAAGGCCGCCAGCACACCACAGCACTTTGGCCAAAGGAACCAACCTGACAGCAGATAGACAGCACAGCTTGCAACGGAACACGTAAGCAACAGCCACGGCTGTTGGTCTCTGGCACGTTGGTTTTCAACCAACATCTCAGCTGCATCGATGGACGGTAACGGCCCGTCTGGCCATTGCACTGCAGAGCCCTCAGCGAGATGCTCCGCGGCCAGCGCGCCAGCAAAAAGCAAGCACAGCAACACTAGCAACATCGGCATGCGGTACAGAGCGGTTTGGCGGTTTGGCACTCAAAGCACTTGAGCCGAAACCCTGGACGTGCTGTCGTGAGCGTCCACAGCAAGGAACTGCCAGGTTTACAGTTTACAGTGCTCGTCACCGCCCAGCACTTGATCATGCGCTCTGGCGCATGCAAGTAAGCCATGTTACCGCATGACAGCTGGCCACCCAGGCCTTAGGCCACTAGACCGAGGCCGCTGACTGAGCACCAGAACACAGCCTGCATGTCCAGGTCCGACCTGTCCTCTCCCCCGCCCCGTGGAGCCTGCTTCCCCCGGCATCCCCGACCACCGCCTCGTCATTGCCAAGTGCTGGGCAGAAAACCCAACGCCGTTCCGCCGGCTGGGGCGCGTCCATCCCGTTGAAACTGCACCTCTTTTCTTCCTATTCTTCTTCTTGCGTATTGCTGTTCGTCTTCTGATAGTTCTTCTTCTTCTTCTTCTTTCTTTATTTCTTTCTTCTTCTGCGTTTTCTGTTCACCTTTACTTTTACTTCGCATCTTTGTGAAACTCGAGCCTACGTTCCTTCAGACAGTCGCGACCAAGCTTGCTCCGTACTTCTGGTTCCATGATGTCACTTTTTTCATGCTGTTGGCCGGTGGGTTTCGCTCCTGTGTGTTGGTGCCTTGGGGGGGGGGGGGGGGTTGTCCCCGATCTGCGGCTTTCGGGGCGTCAGCTATCCCAACCCTGCGCAGCAGAACCTCGCAAGAAGGTCCCGATAATCTGCTCATGCACCTTGGATCGATGAGGGGCATGAGCAGCTCATACGATTGCTTCTATTGTCGCCTAGCCGTGGCAGTTGAGATTTCCCGGCCACAACAAAGCCTGTTGAGTGTCTGCAGCGTGCTCTTGGGATAGTGAGTCGTCACTCCGACTCTAAACGCGCAGCACGAAACACTAAACCTCACGAGGGGGCCCTCCCTGAAATGGGGGGGTGGGGGGTGGGGCGTGGCCCCCCACCACCCCCGCCCCTCGCACCCCTTTAACTTATTGATTTTCATACCAGTTAAGGGTCGGGGTCGCTTGTTGACCCACCTGAACACTAGAGAGAAAGGTTATAAACTACAACTCTCGCAAGCGAGCTTGCTTGCTTTCGTGATTGCTCCTCATCCAACGTGATTCGGATTTGCAAGGATCGCAAGCTTCAAAACTCAGCGACTTGACTTCAGCCGTTGCTGAAACTCAGCTGCAGCTCCGAGTTTGCTGAACTCATTCCACGAGAATCAGAAAGATGATCCAAAAAAACTACCATCGAGATGACAACAGGCACCCATTGCTGCATTCAATCCTGGCCGACGACAACTGTGCCGTGTGCGATGGTACCTATCACCTGCACAGGCCATTCATTTTTGACCAAATGCATCTGTGCACAGCCGTGGCGACATGTGCAAGCACTTTAAGAAGACAATCACTATTCGAAACCTTGGAGCTCAGTGAGGGTGCCGATCGTACACGCCAGCCTAATTGGATCGCATTTACTTGGACCGTATGACATCATGATACCACAAGTGAATGACCAATAGATAACATAGAGCATGAGAACATGAGAACGCCTGAGACCGACACGCCCTTCACATCTAACACTGTACCGCTTTAGGTGCAGGTCCTGCAGTCGTGTATGTGTCAGCATTTAGCTGCTGCAGAAATCTCCTGCCGAATACAACATAAAGTATCCACCAAAGTCGGAAAGATGAGTTATTTGCCACTAGTTCCGAAGAGCATCACTGATGCTGCGATGCAATAGAACTGTCTGTCCTCGGAACTTGGCTCCTCGCCTCCCAGTTTCGGAGGCCTAACAAGCAATCCTTTACAACAACTTTACAACAACACAGGGTACAAAAGCGAAACTATGCGAGATTTGCAACTTACACTTGGATCCCGACTTCTCGCCAAGAGCCGGCTGCGCTGTGGGCACAGCCTGCTGAGCTCTTTTCAGGTCCAAACAGAAACAGGAATGGAAGCAATCCATGTCTCAAGACACAGGCAGCTTAGCACCGGCGCTAGCATCCAAGATCATCCAGTAGCAGCTCCATGTGCAAACACATTGCTCTACGCTCTTTGCTCCCCTACTCTCCGCTCTGAGCGGCTCCCGCTCTGCGCACATCGCTCTGCGCCGCCAACACCGATTTTTGCGCCTCAAGGAGGTTGGACGTCGAAGGCCCGGGCATGTCTCCTTTGTCCTCCCGGTAGCCACCAGAGCCACCGGAGCCGCCCGCCTCCAGAACGTTCGGCCCAAACGTCAACTGCACAAGCTTTGGCAAAAATTTCCTTTGGCAAGTCCAAAGTAGCAACAGACTCCGTTTCTCCTCAGCAACTCAACCTATTTGCAAAGTCTCAGCCGGACTCTTGGATCTTGCGCATAAATGGAAACACACACAGAAACGTGCTCACTACAACAGTGGACAGTAAATGTCACCGCTTCAGCTGGTTGGATCTGACTTCGTCGCAAGATTCGCGAAAGGCCACTCAGAGCAGGGTTTTGTGGCACCTCACTTCGAAGAACATCAAAACTCATTTGAGAAGTTGAATGGACACTCCAGATCCCAAAAAGGAAGCTCGAAAGACACAATACTTGCTGTGCGCCGAGGAACAAGCAGCGGCATGTGCTTTCAATGCTGCAGCAGTCAAGCCCATTGAACTTGAACCTGGAGATGCCACCGGACATGGCCCATTCCAGCCCTAGAACTGGCAAGGGGCTCCTTCGCCACCCTTCTGGCAGTCGATCTGCATTCGCTCTTCAGCTGAAGGTTCCTCACGGACGTGAGACCAGCAATGTCGTTTGCACTGCATACATTCACGCATACTGTTGCCCCAAGTTTGAATCGAAATCCTGGCATCGGGCTGCATCCAAACCCAGACAATGGAAGAGTTGAGAGGACATCTGGCGAAGCGCTGGCTGATTGCGACGTTAACGTGAAACTCATGAGCTGTCTTGAATGTGAAGTGTCGAGTATGCATGAGGTTGGGCTGGCTCAAGCTAGGCTTTACTGGTGTAGCTGCTGCAAAACAAGGCCCTGCCCATTAGAGACTCAAATGCCAAGATCTTGAAAGTCCTCCACACGGCTCAGCATTTTCTGGACGGACATGATGGCCTGGGCCAAGCGTCTTTGCAGGAGCTCCTCGCGAGCCTGAGCCCAAGCGTCTTCTCTTGTGGACTCGCTGCGACTTGCACCAGACATTCTCCTTGTCCACATATTGCGATGCCTCTCGCACCGTCATGCTGTACCTAGGAGAAAGCAGTCATGCATGCAATGATGCTTCGTAGATCTTCGTAGGCTCTGCAGGATCTCGAGCTTGGCAGCCAGCTTCCCCGTTTGCAGGAGTGCAACCTCTGTTGAGTGCACAACCAAACAGACAGGAGACCCCTTTATGCATTGAGCTTTAATAATCGAGCAAGACTAGCATAGCTTGCAGGCACAACATGGAACATCTTGAAACCATGCGGTCATGAATAAAACAAAAATGACAGTGCGATCCTTCAAACACATCGAATCTCACATACCTTCCAGAGACCTTAGCAAGAAATCGTTCCCTATTCTAAATTGCGGGTGCGCGAAGGTCTTATTGCATCCGTGGGTATCTGCTGTAAAGTGTTTGGGGGATATGTCAATTTAGAGGTGGACACTGGAGGCTCTGTGAGGATTTCTCAAACGGCACTCCAGCTCCACGAGATTCGTTGTAGGCCATTGTAGGCTTGTTTGGGGGGAGTAGGTAGCCAGGGCCAGGTGACCGACCAAAAAATGACCCTCCATATTGCAGCATGCTTTTGAACAGGCGACTACTAAGGACACGAGGCAAATTTTTCAGCCTGCACCTCGACAGGACTGCCTACCTTCTAGTGTTCAACCTTACGACTTGGGGAATTGACTTCCACAACATACGCAGCATCCATCCGAAACAGCGAGAACAACGCAAACATTGGGTGCTCACATGTCTTGCACGCCCTTAGACCCTCAGACCATAAGACGGCACATGCGCTCATGCGCAGACAAGTCTATGGGTTGGTCAATGACAAGGGCTACAGAGGATCACGTGAGCTCACCTTGGCCTTCACACCTTGGCCTTCACACCTTGGCCTTCACACCTTGGCCTTCATTCTGCCAAGTAACCCAGGCCTGCCGCAGCATATCCCAAGATGTAGCTCTTGCTGTGATCAGACGGTGACGAAGCGCCACCGCCTCATCGAAGCATATAACCTCAGAAAACTCATGCTTTTTGAACGAGCTTTTGTTGATTCCATGTTGTTCGCAAGCGAGAACCACACAGGCGACGTCAGGCAGTAGGTGTTCGGAACCCACTCCTCAGAAGGGAAGCGCAGAAAATGGCGAGATCTAAAACGTCGACAGATCAGAGAACGACGGGGCAAAGATTTTGGGCTCTTTGGGCGCTGTCGACCTGAAAAACGAACTTTACAATTGTGCCAGAGATCAGATGCACGGGTTTGAAGGAAAAGACTGAGACCAAGTGAGCTGACGGCCGCCGCATGAGAAGCCAAAACCTTCGCTTCAGCAGGCACTATCACTCACGAGCGATGGCCATGAAGCCGCCATGAAGCCCCTCATCCTCAAAAGGCTTAGCAAGGCGTGACATAGCGGACTAGCCCAGCATGAAGACAAGTTACATCGTCGAAGATTTGGCAGATCCTGAAAGGTGGACTCCAAAGCGACACGTCAGCCTGAACGCATATTGTGGATGGCATAGCGATTAAGAACTGCAAGCTTCTGCATGGAAAACGTGCATGATAAGTGGCCTTCAGTAACTTTTCCTGCAAGTCAGAAAGCACCAGTTGGTGCTCTATGGCCTTGGACAGCACAATAACTTGAAACAACTGTGCAAAAAAACGAACCGTTCGTCCAAGCGACGGCCTCAAGCGGAGCCTGCGCGAGACAAGTAACCATGAAACTGACAATTCCCTGTAGCGACAGACAAAGTCCCAAATATGCTGGCAATGTCAAGCCTACCTGTCTCGTGTAGGCCCGCAAGCAATCAATATCCAGTTGCACGCTGAACTTCTCTTGTCCGGCTGAATCTCGAAAACTTCGAAGTCGCATGGAGCCTCATGCAAGGGCTGTCAACACGGCTAGAAGTACAAGGTTCTATAACTCTTTAAATTGCAACGAAGGCACTTGAACCAACACTGTACACTGGCTGCTCATCACACTTTGCTGCCTGCTTGGTGGCCTGCTTAGCCTCGCAAAGCAGATCAAAGTTTTGTTGATCTCAGGTGATCCCACCCACAGTGGTGCGGAACCGCATTGAATGGTGACGCGTCGTATTTCTTACTTGTGGCTTGTCTTGTGCCTTAATCTTAACTTGTGGTTGTGAATATTTTCTTATGACGGAATTTCGCAGGGTGCACATGGGTGCACAAATGCCTTACTTTGTTTGTGTGTCTTTTTGTGTGTCGCTGCTGGCCACTCCCCTCTCCAGGGTTGCACAACTCCTTTGGAGGTTCACTCTTCTCAGTTCATAGGCTTTGAATTTTCAGGTTTGGGTCCTTTTTGCCAGTCAATAACACGCAAACACAAGTAAGGAACAAGGTACGAACAGCTACGGTCACAACTTATACTACCCAGCGATGCTAGCGACATCGCCAGGAAACATGCAAGTCACTGTGTTGCGAGTCCGAGTATGCACTTCCGGAATACTGCCAGCTTCGGGCCTTCAGCATTTTAAGTTTATTCAAGACACCTAGATGCGATGCGGCTCGACCCCAGGCCAAGGGGCCCCGGCCTGAACCCAAGCTCCCTAAACCCAAGGGGCCCCTTGAAACCCGAAGTCCCCAACAGCCCTTTGCCTCGAACAAGCAGGCCAGCATCTAGTCTCCAATGGGATTACTTCGGTGACCCCCCCCCCACCCCCTCTTAACTCTTGGGACCTTCCTGGGACGGCCTGGGACCCTCCTCCTGAGACCAGCCTACCTCCTACATGACGTGTGGCGCCGCACCAAGCCGCGCACACTGCAACCCTGTTGGGCCGACGCAAGCGTTTACAATTCTGAAATAGCGCGTCGGCCCTTTCAAGAGGCTTCCGCTTTCAAGCCCACTCGTATTCAGGGCTTGCTGCTTGCGACCTCTTCTCTGGGGTTTGCCGTCACTTGACAGATCAAGTCTTCTTTCCGGATGACAGTGCTGAGGCTCGCCACTCTGTTCGCTGCCGTGTTGGGATTCAGGTTGCGGTTCTCCCCGTTGGGGATATGCAGTCCCATAGGCCAATCTTTGAGAGCATCTTTTCGCCCATGCTTGCACGATACTCTTGTCAAGGGTTTAGGAATTCAGGGATCAACCAATGCAAACAAATTGTGGCATTGCAGCAGCCAGAGATACCACAGCGAATGAACCGTGAACACGGCTCAAAACAGATTGGAAGACGTCGGGGGCAGTCACTCAAGCAAACTTCATCTTCCGGATTTTTCTCGCAAACACGCACACACACACACACAAACTCTCGTTCTTTCTTTCTTTCTTTCTTTCTTTCTTTCTTTCTTTCTTTCTTTCTTTCTTTCTTTCTTTCTTTCCTCCCTTCTTTCTTTCTGCGCTCCTAACCCCCTCCCTTTGGAGAGGGCCGCCCGAAGGCCTGGATTCGATTAAGTCGTCTACAAAAGATCTATCACTGCATGAAAAATGATCATTCAACCCAATGTCTTTATCGGCGAAGGAGCTGAAATGCGTTAGAGCCAAAGCTTATTCGTTGGCATGATGCAATGAGAGCAGTGGGCAACACTGCCTAACCAGCATGGATTCCGACTTAGAGGCGTTCCGTCGTAATCCAACACTCTCTCTCTCTCTCTTTCTTTATTTCCCCCGCATCGGCATCCCCGCCTCCATGAACCTCAGCAACTCAGCCCGCACACCTTCCTGCATCTTAGCGATCCTCAGCTTCTAACTTGCAAGCCATCCAGGGCTGGAATCACGAGCCCTGACAAAGCAATACCAAAAGGAATTTGAGCATCATGAAAAATCACTATAAATCACTGCATCACAACTCTACACTGACCTCTACACGAAACTCTACACTGAACTCGACACAATTCCACTTGCAGCCCAATAGCTCTTGGTCTCGCATGGGTTTTCCCATTGCTCGCAAAACGTCGTGAAGATTTGCTAGAGACTCCTTCGAATCCCTGGTCACTTTGCCTGCAGCAGCAGCTCAGCAGCGGCTCAGCATCTTCGAAAAGGGCTCCACTGTGGCACTGGCCCTTTCGAGGATCAATCTCGTCAGCCGTGGTTGATGGACGCCGCTTCAATTTGCTACTTGGGCCTGCAGGGAAGCATGGCAAACTAAAGAAACTGATATGTACATACATATATATGTGATCTGCGAGTGATCTGCAGGTACTTTGCGAGTGCTCTGTGAGTGCGTGAATGCTGTGGGCTGTCCAGCACTTCAGTAAAAACAATTGCAATATTGACAATGCCTCCCTTTCCGCTGCCAGCAGGGCCACCGAAGTTTCTGTCATACAAATTCCGCTCAGCCGGGTTGGACAATACTTCCTGGGAAGCTGAAGCTCGGCTGTTCCGGCTGTTTCACAATGTCTCACCGTCAGCAAACTGCTTTTGACATCAAAAGACACTGAGCTTCCGTCAAAGGCTTGCCTCACCAGGCGGAATGCTTCAGAGGTCCCGCCTGGCACCATGTGTGACAGTCGATATGAAAAAAGGGAAGCCAGCACTACAAAGGGAAAGGCCGGCTTTCGCAGCCCAGCAGCCAGCAGAAGCAACAGGCAGTTGTTACACAAAGATCGAAATGGGCTCTTGTTTCACTACGGCTTTTTGCTCGCTGCTTATAGGACAAGGTGCGGTTGGCTCCAAAGGCCCCCGACTAACTTTCTAGAAGCACCTTTGAGTTACTGAACCATTTTCTCTAATACCGAAACTGCACACCTCTCCAATTAGGGTTTATGTCGAATAATGTACATAAGTTTCATAAGTTGGTCTACCCGAACATGCGCAAGGAAGTTTCGCAAAACTGAGTCCTCTGTCAGGATGCGCTTTAAGCAGTGCTCGGCGGTAAGCAACTCGAAGCTCGGCGATGGACGCATTGTCCTCGACCTCTGACACAAAAATGGGTAAACAAAGCACTAACAAGAAGATGGTAAGGCTTCGGCATTCAACAATGAGTAGAAATTGGCTGAACGCTGCGCACCACCCTGCACAAGCAGTTCCGTCATGGTGCATAACGAACAACGTGTTGAAGCTGCGCCATGACGCATTCACATGATCTCTGTAAGAAGCGAGCCAAAGGCTTTTGCCACTCCGTAGCCATTGAATACTCGATCTGACAGCATGACGTCGTCTAGCCTCAGCAATGGCTGTGACAGCCATCATCTGTACTTGCTACCTCAACAAAACCAAGCGATGAAACAAGAAATGCTGCGTCAAACCACTACTTCAATGACTCAAGCTACTTCATCGATCCGCTGCCGAAGTGCATCGTTTGCCATAATGGCAAGTTATGCCGAAAAGTGGGTCAGAAGCTTGCCATGATGGCGAGCTCCGAAACTAACACTGGACCAATGCTCGGAGCCATGCCATTGCACGTTGTGAACACAACGAACACAACGAGCTGCTGCTGCAGACTAAGCTGTCACTACACGTGCAGCCTCCACTCGGTCATCAGGAACAGCAAGTCCAAGCAAATCAAACTCATCCAGCCTCGGCACTTATGCATTGCGCACAGAACGACTCAAGTAAAAAAGCTTGGGTTGTGGCTTCGACATGCTCCCACGGCACCTAGCAAACTGATGAGCTAACAAAAACAACAACAGAGACAACAACAACGTGCTCGTCGAGCCTGAATAGCAGGCCCAATTCCGACCACAACGTTAACCAGAGACATAACTCGAAACTGCGAAGCGCAAACAGTGTAGTCATTGTGACGAGCACTGTTGTGTGAGGAAGCTTGCATGACCAATCATGAAATCTTGTTTCAAACGGCTTGAAAAAATCTAATGCTAAAGTCGCTGGTGCAACATAAACATCAAAAAAAATGTCATATCATACCAACCGAAATGGAAGAAGGCGGAAAATAAGCTGTTCACAGCCTCGCATGCTTAGCCTAAAGCTTCACACAGGGCAAAATTCGAACCGCTGGGGGAAATTGACATGCTTACCACACCCTCGACGTGTTTTGGTGGTCTTTTACCACAAAATTAAACTCTGAAAGATTGGCCTTCTCAATCAACTTCTCAGCTTTTTTGCATTTATCCGACGCAAAATGCCCGTCAAGCCATAACATTTTTTGTGAACCTATGTGTGCTTAAAGTGCACTCATGCCATACAGATTTGCAGATTGCGCGTTCGCGGCCTGACAGTTTTTCGCCACAGCCACCAGAGACTTTGTTGTGATTTTGAAATCAATACTCGTGCGGCATGCAACGACACATGCAACGTATAGCTTATAGGAAAAATCTTCCACATAGTCGTTCCCATTCTAAGTTTCAACTTAGAAGAGTTGAATATACGATCCTGTGGATGAAAATTACCAATGGCTTGCGACTTACGAGCGCGATCTCATCATTTAAGCGACGTGAACTTATAGCGTTACACTTCTACTAGTGAGTGCCAAATCAACATAGACCGACGTACTTCAGGCCTGCTTGTTCATTTTCGTAACTAGGGGCTAGTGAAACTTTCCGTTGAGTTAGAACGACAGATGTCTTGCAACTTCAAGAATGATGTTAGCGAAATTTAATGAAGTGAGCTTATGGGTGTGATGTTTACTATGTTTTACCACGCAACGCAGACATGTTGTTAAACTGTGACTATCTGAATGGGGCTATCTGCAAAGAGACAGAGGGACAGCTACCTGGCTAGTAGTCTGTTCTGGTATTGCGTTACTGTAAAATTTAAATCTCATGCACTAAGCCTTCACTAAGCAATATTATTGGTTCCTTGCATGCATTCCCTGGCTTTCACGGACTTTCTCAGATCTGAGAGCCTTCTCAATTAAATTTGGACAAGATGTCTTTTTGCATGGCCTTGTGGGCTGTTAAATTGTCCGAAGATTTTTTCGAGGCTGCGCCGTTGGACATAACGAAAACAATATCATGGGGGCTATCGACCTTGCGGCTGAGTGCGCGAGGCGAGCGACTGCCCTAGGGCATTTGTATGACGCGTCTGGTCTTTATGGTGCAGCGTCGCTGCCAACTGCCCCCCGCACCCCCCGCCATGGTCCCCCCCCCCCAATGGCCCCCCCCAAATTCTTTCCCCGCCCCGCCCCCCCTGTGGTTTGGGCCCCCCTGTGGTGTGGTTGGGTTTGGGTTGAAGGTTTAGGGTTTAGGGTTTAGGGTTTAGGGTTTAGGGTTTAGGGTTTAGGGTTTAGGGTTTAGGGTTTAGGGTTTAGGGTTTAGGGTTTAGGGTTTAGGGTTTAGGGTTCCGGGTTTAGGGTTGAGGGTTTAGGGTTTAAGGTTTAGGGTTTCGGGTTTAGGGGTTTAGGGGTTTAGGGGTTTAGGGGTTTAGGGGTTTAGGGGTTTAGGGGTTTAGGGGTTTAGGGGTTTAGGGTTTAGGGGTTTAGGGTTTAGGGGTTTAGGGGTTTAGGGGTTTAGGGGTTTAGGGGTTTAGGGGTTTAGGGGGTTTAAGGGTTTAGGGGTTTAGGGTTCAGCATCTCCAGTTCAAGCATTCACTAGTCAAGCTCGCTACTCTGGTATCGAATATATACCCACCCACCCTTTGGATCCCATAACATTAGAAAAATATTTTTGTTTTTAACGGACCCAAAACACGAAATCTAATCTAAGGCCCACAATAGGCCCTTTGTGCTCTTAGGGTCCTAAACCCTACGGTTTGGAAGCCCCTATCAGTGAAGGCTCGGTTTTGGTCAAAAATCCAGAAAACGAGAGCCCACCCAGAACCGTCGATTTCAGTACTAAAAAATCGCATTTTTAACTGGGACCCGGGCCGATCCAGGGGTCCCCCTCATTTGTGGTGTTTTGGAGGCAAACTTTCCCTCTCTCAAGGGGGGTCGGAGTTTGAGGCAAGGGGGGGGGTCTCCGAAGACTATTTTGCTTTTAAAATTGAGAAATACGACCCCCCCTTGACCAAAACTAGGCTGTGGCACGGGGGCGGCCCTTCATCAGAACTGAGGGTTAGAAACCCTGAAACACCCTGAAAAACACTGAAAAACCTCAAAAAAACACTGAAACATTCTGAAAAACCTTGCAGAACCTTTGAAGTTCTGAAACCGGTGAAGGCTCGGTTTTGGTCAAAAATCCAGATAACGAGAGCCCACCCAGAACCGTCGATTTCAGTACTAAAAAAATCGCATTTTGAAAAAAGTCCTGAAACACCCGGAAAAACATTGAAAAACCTCAAAAAACATTGAAAAATTCTGAAAAACCGTGAAAAACTTGAAGTTCTGAAACCTGTGAAGGCTCGGTTTGGTCAAAAATCCCAAAAAAACGAGAGCCCACCCAGAACCGTCGATTTCAGTACTAAAAACTCGCATTTTTGACCCGAGCCGATCCTGGGTTCCCCCTCATTTGGGGTGTTTTTGGGGGCAACCTTTCCCTCTCAAGGGGGAAGGGGGGGTCGGAGTTTGAGGCAAGGGGGGGTCTCCGAAGAATATTTTGCCTTTAAAATTGAAAAATACGACCCCCCTTGAGCAAAACTAGGCTGTGAAAAGGTCGCGGGCCCTTCATCAGAATTGAGGGTTAAAAACTTGAAATATCCTGAAAAACATTGAAAAACCTTGAAAAACACTGAAAAACTCTAAATCACCATTGCCCACTTTTGAGTTAGGGTTTAAATTCATTGTGATAAATAGGGTTTAGGGTTTAGGGTTTAGGGTTTAGGGGGGGTGCGGGGGGGTGGCGGGGGGTGGGGGGGGGGGGTACCATTGGGGGCGCGGGGAGGTGGGGGGTACCGACACGGGACACGGAACCATATATACCTGGTGCAGGGGGACAAGTGCTTTGCTTATGTTCAATATGATGCAGGGACCCGCCAAGCGCTTTCTTGTTTATCGCAAGAATTTCAGCCCACTCATATCCTGAAACTTATTGCAAACCCCGCAAAACACTGCGACAAACGGGAGTCCTACTTTACAAAACATCATGAATCCTCTCCCATCTCGTCCGAAGGACTTAAGGCCTGCTTGTTCATGTTCGTAACTAGAGTGAAACTTTCCGTTGAGTTAGAACGACAGATGTCTTGCAACTTCAAGAATGATGTTAGCGAAATTTAATGAAGTGAGCTTATGGGTGTGATTTTTACTATGTTTTACCACGCAACGCAGACATGTTGCTAAACTGTGAATATCTGAATGGGGCTATCTGCAAAGAGAAAGAAGGACAGCTACCTGGCTAGTAGTCTATTCTGGTATTGCGTTACTGTAAAATTTAAATCTCATGCACTAAGCCTTCACTAAGCAATATTATTGGTTCCTTGCATGCATTCCCTGCTTTCACGGACTTTCTCAGATCTGAGAGCCTTCTCAATTTGGACAAGATGTCTTTTGCATGGCCTTGTGGGCTGTTAAATTGTCCGAAGATTTTTTCGAGGCTGCGCCGTTGGACCTAACGAAAATAATATCATGGGGGCTATCGACCTGGCGGCTGAGTGCGCGAGGCGAGCGACTGCCCTAGGGCATTTGTATGACACGTCTGGTCTTTATGGCCCAATGGCCCCCCCCAAATTCTTTCCCCGCCCCGCCCCCCCTGGTTTGGGCCCCCCTGTGGGGTGGTGTGGTTGGGGTTTGGGTTGAGGGTTGAGGGTTTAGGGTTTAGGGTTTAGGGTTTAGGGTGTGTCAGGGGAGGGCGCGCGCTCGGGTGTGAAGCACCCCGGGCCGCGCGCTCGCGTTGCCCGTCAACCCACCCCGGCCACCCACACTATACTCTATTAGGGTTTAGGGTTTATGGAATATATTTTCTTGTGCCCCGATGCTTGCTTTGACGTTTTTAAAGTTGCGGTGTTAGGGTTTAAGCTGGGGTTGGGGGTAGCCTCGGCCCTTTTCGGGCCTTCGGCGTGTCAGGGCCCGTAGAGGCCCTTTTTTTGAAGGTCAGGGAAACCCTTTGTGCCGGCTCCTGGATTCCCCTTCTTTAAGGGCCTCAAGCATTTTTGGTGGCTCTTGGGGCTTTTTGGGGGCTTCTTGGGGGCTTTCCTGGCCCTTCTGGGGGGTGCCCAAAACTCGTTCTTAGTACAAAAAATCGCCTTTGTCCTTGCGGGCACGGGCAAATCCTGGGGCCCAAGCCTCTTAAGCTCTGAGCGTCCGGCTAGAGAAAAGAGGCCCACCAGCTTCCTTATAGCCACAACAACTTTTCGGAAATAAGTATAAATCCCAATGTACGTGTATAGCATCAGACGAATATAAAAGTTGAATCCCATGTGGATGGCAAAGCACCCTAGTAGTCTCATTCAACAGAATAGACGAATGATCAACTTATTCACTTGGGCGCGATTGTTCCTTTTTTCTTCCGATGGCAATGCCACAAGTCGGGAGAATCCAAAAGCCCTCCCAGGGCCTCCAAGGTCACGCATCACCGTACACGAGTGAGCGCGCCTTAGACATCCCCGGGTGGGTGGGCGGGGAAAGAATTTTTCAGGCTCTCTGTCTATCTCAAAAGCTTTCAGCCCACAGCTTGAGAATGCAGACGAGTTCAAAGTGCAGAGCCTTGCCTCAAGGTTGAAAAATTCTCAATCTCTTAAAAATCATGATACTCGCAAGTTCCCCAAATTCTGCAAGCGGCGTCATGACGAGCAAATGTTAAAACCATGATGCACGCAAGTTGCTACACGAGGGAAGTAGCTTCCCAGGTTACAAAGATCCGAAAAGCGAGTTTCAAAAGTGACAGACAACTTTTGAAACATTGTGTGTCTATAAAGCTATAGGAGACGAGTCTCCAATAAAGCTTATAGCCACAACAACTTTTCGGAAATAAGTATTTATCCCAATGTACGTGTATAGCATCAGACGAATATAAAAGTTGAATCCCATGTGGATGGCAAAGCACCCTAGTAGTCTCATTCAACAGAATAGACGAATGATCAACTTATTCACTTGGGCGCGATTGTTCCTTTTTTCTTCCGATGGCAATGCCACAAGTCGGGAGAATCCAAAAGCCCTCCCAGGGCCTCCAAGGTCACGCATCACCGTACACGAGTGAGCGCGCCTTAGACATCCCTCTTCAACTCAAGCGGGCTCAGGAGTTCGCCTGACATGCAGCATGAAGGGTGATCACGAGAGCAGGTGCCCCAGAAAGGAAAGTTTGACGAGCCCCTTGAGGGAGCGTCCGAAGGATTGCTAGGACTTGGCACACGTGCTATCCAACCAATCATGGGCACTGCATCGGCCCGCTCAAACTCGACAAGCAGTGATCGCCACACAGTGTCCCTGGAGGTCCCACTCACACAAGCGGCATGAACACCTGAGTGGTCCACGAAAAACAAGGCCCTTGATGAATCTAAGTAAGACCCCCATAGCCGCCTGGCGACGACAACTGCAAATAACTCAACGGGTCCAATCAAATGGCGCTTGCCGGCATTGCTCCACTTTTGAACAAGAGTGGCGGGCATCCTGCACGCGAAGAAGCGGGTGTTCCAACTTCCCTCCTGGTAGTGGTAAAGGATGCCGCCTATGGTGCAGACAGGATGGCCGTCTTCAAACTCGCATGCCCCGTCGGTGAAGACGCAAGCACACCCTCTCGGTATCGCCGTGGGGATTGCCCGAGGAGGGCCCGAAACCAAGCGCTGCTTAAGATTTCGGAAAGCATCGCACTCGAACTTGCCAAGACGCAACTCCCCATTTGAGGAGCACAGGGACCTAAGCTCCATAAGGGCCAAACGCCCCAACCTCCCCAACAGCTGGCCTTCCATGAACTGAATGCGCCCGAACAAAGATGCGACCTCGGAAGCCTTAAGAAAACCCTTGTCAAGCACTTGGTCAATGGAGGCGGACATCTCGGTGCACTTGTCCTCGCGATTTGCAACTCTGACATGCTTAAGGGTGGGGTCAGACAGGTCTAGGGTGACACCCAAGAGGTTTGCAGAAGGAGCGAAGTCTTCCTCCTTGTCAGCGGCTCGAGTAAAGCCGAGGAGGGACAGGATGTTGTGCACGGTCTTCTCACAACTCCCGGCAAGTGCAGACAACTCCAGCAAGGGATAATCATCGAAGTAGTTGCTTGTCATTACCCAGGCTTCCTGCAGGATTCTCTGGAGCAAACGGGCCACCCTGTTGAAGGCCGTGACGCTGGCGGAAGCGCCGAAAGGTAACACCTTTGAAACATACCCCACCACACGGGAATCAGACGGTCTACGCAAGCTCACGACACACAGACGGTGGTCCGACGGGTGAAGGGGAAGCTGCTTGTAGGCGGATTTAAGATCCACCGTTTTCACAAGCGGACGTGCCCGAGAGGTGTTGGAAGCCCAGAACGGATGGAGTGGACCAGAGATCACCTCCCCCGTGGAGAGTGGGACATGCACAGAGCCTTTGCAAATCAGGGCGCGCATGATGAAGGCTGCAGTCCAAACAATCTCGTCGATGGCTCGGAGCGTGAGCTTGTCACAAGGGGCAAAGGCACTGTTGACCCCATTCTCGGCCAAGTCATCGATGGGCCTTAGCTTCCCTCTTTGCTCCACTGCAAATCGACGGGCAGGGACCCATGAGCCCTTGAAGTGGTCTTCGAGTTCGTCCCAGGACCGAGCTGGGTCCAGCCACCCCTTCTCCGAATACTCAGCATGCGTGATGTCGAAAAGCTCTTGCTCGTGAGGATTTGCCGGGCTTTGGGCTATCTTATCCCACAAGAGGGGCTTCAAGACCTCAGCTGGTTCCATCAAGCCGTCCACAGTTAGTTCTGCCGGTTTAGGGTCCAGAGGAAAAACACCGCTAGGCTTTTCCTCCCCCACAAGCCGGAAGCCATGCGTGAGGTCGTGGTGCAAGTGCTCATCGGGCCAGTCCAAGGATTTGGCAATCCTGTCAAGGAGGAGGAGCTTCTTACCTCTTACCACGCTTGCCACGGAAGGGTGGAGGGACGCGTGCAGTTGTTCCTCGCGCCCCTCCAACTCCTGAGCCCACTTCCTCCAGGTGAGGTAGAGGTCCAACCTGCGTCGAACAACAGTCAAAGGACCATCGAGGAGCACCCTGGCGAGAACGGTCAAGGCCTGGTCAGGTAGGGCTGTGGCTACGTCAAAGGGGTGTGTTAGGGTAAGGGAAAGCTTGGCAAACTGCAAGGGGTCCCGGTACACACCACAAGTGATTGATGCCACAGCAGAGTGGCCAGCCATCAAGACCTGATCTGCCAGATTCCTGTCGGGTCGAGGACGCTTCGGGAAAACCACCCCCTCTTCAAAATTAACCCGGAGAACCTTAGAACCGACAGGCACGGGGCCCAAAGCAGCGCACAAGCAGTTCTTGTCATCAAGCGCAGGCAACTGGCCGGACGGGAGGGGGACAGTGACCTGGTAATGGTACTCATCGATCAAGACAACAGCCTTAGATGTGCGTGGCTGCTTGTGTGTGGCCGTGCGGGCCGACTCATTCGAGAGGCCGGACGGAGAAGGCATAGCATGAGAGGAACCCAGGGCCAGCGAGGCCGCGGAAGCATACCGAGTGCAAAACACCTCGGGATACTCGGCTTCATCGGCAGTTGAGAAATCCCCGGAAGGGAGGATGCCCCAAGGGCGGTGAGGGTGTGAGTTGTCGCACTGGCGGGCAAGGGCGGACAACTCGGGCAGAGAGGTCCACAGCTCCTGATGCTTAGCGCGCGCGCCCCCGTGCATGCAGGCGTCATAAGGCACAACAGAACAACGAGGACGCAAGTCAAGGAACTCAGGCAGCAACCACATGTAGGAGCGAGCAGGGTTCTCCACGCAGAAGTGAGTGTGGGGCGCCTCCTCAAGCAGCCAAGCACAGAAACGCGCAGCGCGACGGTATATCGAGTTAGCAGAGTCGACCTTGGCCTGCCACGAGGGGGAAAGGCCGGGCAGCCCCGCAGGGAAGGCCTCGCTGCGAAGGGCGGGCGGAGATGGCTGCCCTTTGATCGGGATGCCGCGTGCCCGCGAGGCCGTGCCACAGGGAGGCGCAACGTGAATGAGGAAGACCTGCCGGGCCTGCACAAGCCGGCGTAGGTAGCGCCACGAAGACTCCAAGCGTAAGTCAAGATGCACACAATGCACCAAAGGAACATGGCGGTTGCCAGGATGGTCGACAGCCAAGACCTGAAACCCCAGGGCTCGAAACGCCGCGGAGAGGCCAGCGGACCCACAGCACAACTCGAGGAACATCAGTTTTTGCGGCCGGACGGCCGGCAAGGCTGCAGAGTCGCTCATGGCAGTCGAAGGCCCAGAATCCCCTCCGAGGCGGCGGCTTCTTGCAGTGCGGGGCCAGGGCTGGCGGGGTGACCCGAGGGACTAGGGGAGCTACACCCAGAAGGCCTAAGGTCAGGGAAACCAGTGACAACTGCAGGCAGTGTGCGTGGAGGCGGCTCCTTAGCTGGAAGTCGGAAGCCCAAAGCGCGCAAGGCCCGACAAGAGGCCCCGTCGAGTGATGCAACATTTTTGAGGCAATAAGCAATCAACACAAGGCGGCGGCCCTTGAACGGCATCACTGCATGCTGCAACCCTTGAGCATTGAAGGCAATGGGACCCCGTCCCAAATCACAAAGCCGCGCACGGAATGACTGGCCTCCATGAGAGACCACATGTCCCTCGGGGTCCGCGACCGCGAGTTCGCCTCCTTCAAAGCGGGTCAAGGGGATAACAAGGTTGGGCAGGCAAGCGTTTTGGGCGTCGCGGTGAATTCCCATCTCGGATCCCTCAAGGATAACAAAGCTGCTGAACTGGTGAGCGGGGGACACCTCCGCAATCAGCCGGGTGAACACCTTAACAGCCTCGGGGAATTGGGCGACCGAAGATCGCAAGCCTACAAGGGGGCCCCGGCGGTACATCCCCGAATAGAAGGACTTCTGAACCTTATCCCTTACGGCATGGGGAGTGCGTGAAACGGCAACATCGGGGAGTGAATCGAAGGTTTCAATGGCATGCAAAAGGGTGGCAGATTTGGGACTAGAAGAAGTTTGCTTTGGGGTCGCCTCGCCCTCAGGGGCGGGAGCGATCCGCAGGGCCTGGAGGTTCGGTTGCCGGCTAGCATCCGATCCACCAGAAAGCTTCGGACTGTCACGCGGCAGTGATTGCACTTCGGCATTCGCTGCATCGGGGGTCGGTTGCCAAACTGCATCCGATCTAGAAGAAATCTTGAGATTGCTGCAAGGTTGCTCAACGGCATCCTGCACAGGCTGTCCCTGACCTGCAAAATGCAAGGGTCCAGGGTCACCAAACTCGACTGACTGGGGCCCTAGTCACTCCGACTGAGCCTTGCTCCGCTTCGGGCAAGCAGAAGCGCCGTGGCCATGCTGCCCACACTTCGGGATGGCGCATGCGTGGAGGCCCCTCTGGCACGCATTGTTCTTGACCTCATTGGCACAAGTGCCGAGCTGGAAACCGTAGCAGTACGGATTCCCTTTCTTCGTGGCAGACACGCACCCCCACGCCACCATTTGCGCTGGCATCCCGGGAGCTTTGGTCTTTCCTTTGCCCTTGCCCTGGCCCTTGGGATTGCGAGGCTTGCGGGGGCCGTAGGGACCGGGGCGCTCGGGTCGCTCCAACTCCTTCCCTTCATCAAGGGATCGAGAAGAGGCAGAAGGAAGCGGCTGCATCAAGCACACGACATCGAAAGAATTCATGACAGTCTGGAGGTGCGTGTCCAAGGGCCTGGCTCCACCAGAGGATTGCACTCCGTCACGGGTCATGTCTCGCAACTCGCTGAAGAGCTTCTTGTCCGCAGCCACGAGTTGAGCCCAGGTTGGCCGAACATACCCAGCCGGGGCTTCCTGCATGCGTGCACGCATCAAACGATCACTCCACTGTTGCGTGGTCGCGTACTCGACAAGGTTGGCTTGGTCCATGGCAAGGGAGCGGCGCTGCAACGCCTGCATGACATGAACCTCGGAAGATGTGACCGCTTTCTGCTCCGCATCCTTGTTTTCAACCTTCAGACGCCCAGTGTGCTCGTCGACGGTGAAGCGGGTGTCACGGCGTCGGTCTGAGCCCACTTCTTGCTCTCTTGAAGTACATATTTCCCAAGACAGATAGCGAAGCTCTACCAAGGCCTCGCTAGGCTCGCTCGAGCCCTTGATGGAGACTCCAACGAGCTTCTTCTTCTGCTTCTCGAACCTCTCGGCTCGCTCGGGTTGTGTCAGGCGCCTGCTTGCTGGCTCTTCGGACTTCTCGATCTTTTGGCGCAGCTCAGAAGTGACAACGGCGTAGGACTCGTGGTACAGGGCTCGGAAGCTGGCCTGGACACCAAGTTCCGCATCCCTCCCAAGCATGAGCTTCAGTGCGGCCATCAACGGGGATTCATCGGCTTGACCTGGGGTGAAGCTGGAGATGAACGCCAGCTGTCTCAGTGAAGACACCGCGGCTTTGATTTTCGTGGCATCCTCCTTTGTGAGTCCGCTGGCATCTACCCTCGCATTGAAAACACTCTGGCTGTCCGAGTAAGAGGCAGCCATCCTCCTAGCTGCACCTGACGGGATCAAGCCAAAACGTGCTCACTCGGCTGCCGAAATCCACCGCACGCATACAGCATGATAGTCAAAACTCGGACGGGTGCTCACCTTGCCATCTCTGTAAGCTTGCGTTCCTTTTCTCGTTCTCGGCAAAAAGAACACGTTTGGCTCGGCATCGCCTTTGCGCCCCTGAGCACGGGCCTGGCATCGTCAATGACGCCCCAGGCCCTCTCCTCCTGCCAGGGGTGGTTCGCAAGCCCTGGCATCACCCAAAAGGCGCCCCAAGTCTGCGATCCATCACACTGGTCCCTCAGAAGCTCTTGGATAACACTGCTTGCAAAACGGATACAAAACTTGCGGTATATCATCGCACTTAGAATATGACGAGGTGATCGCTCGGCCGCAGCGGAACATAGTGCCTTCCTCCGACGAAACAACATGGATGAAGCGACTGACTCGATGACGAAAAACCTCTGCCTCATCCAGCCGTTCCCTCAAGCCAGGCTCGGGTTGCCACGGACCAACAAACTCGTTGACGGCCTGCTCCTCTTCCTCCAAGTCTGGATGCTCCTCGTCTTCACTGCCCTCTGTTGACTCCGAAACGTCGTCCGGGAGGGCCTCTGGTGCAGCCGGGCGCTCCGGTGTGAACATCCCTGACCTTGTGCAGTCGGGTCTGAACTTGTCGAAGGAGATGTCCTCCAGAATCTGATCGAACTGCCTTAATGCCGGGGCGACGTTGTCTCTGCCGTACACGACGTCGCTGTCCGCCCGAGAGGCACTGTGGTACCCGAGAATCAATCGAATTTCCTTGCTGGCCCCCCATTTCGCAGCCCAGCTGAGGCCGGTGGCCTTCATGGAATGCGTGCCAAGAAGCTTGACTGTAGCAACGTCCTCCCCAGCCTTATACAGCAAGCTCCTCAACCACTTGGCTCCCATCCCAACGGCAATCGGCGATGAGGCCCAACCCCCCGTCCATAGGGGCGGGCAAGAGGGGCGAGTCCTCAGACCAGCCAGGGCCGTAAAGCTCGGCGATGTCCATCCACGCAATCGCCCACGACTCATCGAGAAGGCCCTGGACCGGGGCGCACATGGAAAGGTAGCGCGTCTTCCGCTCGAGGGTGTAAGCCGTCTTCGTTCGACACACAGAAGCTTCAAGGAAGCCCCTGACTCCACCATCGGGCAGATTGGTAACATCCTTGGTGATAGCGCCACTGTTTTGCATGTCGGAGAACCGCGCACGAGCATAGGTGGCGTACAGAAAACATCCGGCAGCATATCTGTCTGACCCACTGAAGTCACCCCAGCCGGTGACGATCTTTTCCAAGGCCTTGACGTGTGAGACCTTGAGCGGCGGCTTCTGAACTTGCTTTCTCTTGTTCAAGTACAGAGCGTTGCAAGCACCAGTCAAACGGGTCGAAAACACATCTTCAAACTTGCATTCAAGGACATGCCGACAGAAAGCCACCGAACTCAGGAAGCTGCGAGCGAAAGTAGGGGCTTGCCTGGCGCAGTACTCCTTGACGAAGCGGTACAAAAGGTCTTCCCTGAATGGGAAAGGCGGCTGGCCTTCCTTTTTACAGAACTTCAAGTACCTGAGGATTGGCCCCGCTCGGCCATGCAGGGTGGCGCTCGCCTTCAAAGCAAAAATGTCAAGTAGAACCGAAGACAACTGCTGAGGTTCACCACCGGATGCATCCACCGCAACCTTCTCCACGACCCCGAAGTGCTCGCCGTGTGACAGCATGATGCCACTCCATTTGGCAATGGCAGCGGATCTGCTTTCTGTCTGCTGAGCATGCCAAGGGGTCCCTTTGGACTTTGCAAACGGAATACTGGGCGCAGGGGCCAGCACAGGAGGTGTTGTGGGGAGGGGAGCAGAAGACCCCAAGGGTGCACTCGGGAGCCCGACGCCCCACCGTTGGTAGGGAGGGAGGCCCGGCAGGATGCTTGGTGGGTTGAGAATCTGGGACCTGTCCCAGGGCTGCACGAACCTGGTTTTGGACCCTTTAAGGAGGTACTCGAGATGCTGTTCGTAGGCCTCCTCAAGGTTACGCTTCATTGTCCCAAGAAAAGCCCCTAATCAACCCAAAAAGGGACCCTGAAGCGCTGAGGGCCGAGCAGAACTCAAGAAGCCAGCGGCAAAAGAATCCGCAGACAAGTATGAGGCCTGTTCGAGATCTCCAGTTGGAAGGTGGTGATGTTGGACATATCTGCTGTCAGGGGCCGACGCGAGTGAAATCTGTGGACCATGTGTGGCCTCTGGAGGAGGGTCGTCAGTGTTTCCAGGTCTGCCAGCATCCGGTCCTGATGAAGGGCAGTCCGACTCTCGTTCACTACTAGAGCATTTGTGCTTGGTGACCACTTCTGGTATACCCAGGTGTGGTTGTGAGGGTCTATCCAGTGGTTCTCGGTGGCTTTCTTCATGAGCCCCGTGGCTTGGGCTGCAGCGGGTTCGACCGCTTTGAGGGTCGCTGCTAGAAGCTGTACAAGATTGACCATGAGTGCCATGCGCAAGGGGCATGTGACTTGGTTTTGCTGATGCGCCTCTTTCCATGTCTGCGCCGCTTTGAAGAGCATCTTGAGTGCTCCGGTCTCCCCTGGCTGAAGGAAAAGCACCCATGCCGTGTCTTGTTGTAGTACCTTGATGGCTGTCTCCTGCTGTAGAGACAGTTTGCAGAGTGCTTTCACTAGTGGAAGCAGGTGGGGGCCATCCGTGGATTTTCTGCCCGGATTGGCTTGTGCCCCATTGAGGCGCCCACTTCGATCCCCTTTGCCTGCGCCTTTGCGCGGTGCCTTGTTCATTCTGGTCTCCAGCACAGGGGCCTCTTGGGCTTCCCTCTTGGGGCCACCGTTCGTCACCTCCATTTGCAGCGCCGCCAGTTGCTCTTTGAGCACCGGGCCGAAGCATTCCGCCAGCTGTTGCTCCATTCCAGGTGGTTCAGAGCACTTAGAAAGGTGCAGAACACAAATCTGCCAGAGTACAGTGCACTTGGCCGGATGTTGCCGAGTGGCTTTCACGTGGGTACCGCAATGCTCGCACGGCGCACCAGGGGTGTTGAATCTTGAGCACAGTTTCGCTGCTTCAGCAAGAAAGGCGGTATACAGCGATGCATGGGATTGTCTATAATGGTTCTTCATTTTGCTGGCATCAGCGATCCACTGCTTGCAGAAGGCACAATGATGCTTGAGCACGTGTCGGTCCTGAAGGTGGAATGCCGCGTTCTCGCGATGCTGCAGCAGCAGGTCCCGAACATGTTGCCTTTGCGCATACGGAAGGGAGATAGCACTGTGTGTCTGCGAGTTGGCAGCCTCCTGCCGAGGCGCCGGCTCCACATGCTGTCCTTTTGCCTGTCTAGCGGTGTCACGTTGACAAACTGAGGCCTGCGGTGGAATCAGGGTTCGGTCCATGGCCGGACACCGCTTTTCCTGTATATGTTTTCTCAGACTAGAGAAGTCACACAGTTTTTTGTGGCAGTGCGCACATGTTGGGAGAATTTCTGGGCGTCTCTCGCTCGTTCAAAGAATATGGGGCTCTGGTTAGTGGGTCTGCTACTGTGCAGTGGGTGAGCCTTGGCCATGTGTAAAAGTATGGCTGTGCGGTCAACATACGTAATGCCACACTCAGGACAGACGGTTCCTTTGTGTAGGGGTGTGAGTTCGACTGGCTCGCGCTGCGTTGTACATATGGAGTCGATGACATGCTTCCATGCTGCAGAGCCTGGTCCCCTTGCAAAGGGATCATCAGGATCCTGTTCCGGCTCAGCAAGCAATTGATTGCGCAACATATCTAGGGGATGGGTGAGGCCCCACGTATGCAGCAGCTGTTCGTGCGTGTGATGTGTGAGATGCACGGGGTCTTTGACAATGATTCTGATTTGCTGCAGGAGTTGCGTTGTGAAACGCTTGCTTCCTGCTGTGGTTAAGCCACACGCATCAAGGCCATACGCAGTGGCCGTGAACACACAGGCCCTCCAGATACTGAGCCGGTTGCGTATAGTGAGTTCGTTTTTGCCTCTTAGAACTTAGAACCTTAGCAAGCCGCCAGAAGTTCTTTCTCCCTATGTCAAGTCTGTGCTCAAGCGTTTGGTCTTCAAAGTTATCATAGCTAGTTATGGCTCCAAGATAGGTGAATGAATGCGCAAGCGGGATATCAGTGTGGGATCTGGCCCTGCGTATACGAAGCACCGTGCCATGCTTGGTGCGGACCAGATATTTGCGTCTGATGGTTTCTGCTTGCTTCCCACGGCAGGTGAGTATGGCCTGACTCTTGGAAGGGCTCACTGTCATGCCAAGTTGCGTAAGAACGTCCATGAGAGCTGCGATGCGAAGTAGTGTCGTATCAAGCTCATGTTCCGTCCGAAAGAAACCCGAGCAGTGATAATCATCAGCAAAAATGGAGAGGAGTTGTTGCGTTTCTTCCATTCCTATCTTAGCCGCGAGAGCACTGCTTATAAGATGGGAGTAGATCAACCATAGGAGGGGTGCCACTGCACATCCCTGGCGCACTCCTTGAGTGGCCTGCACTAGGCGCTCCTCTCCATCATGGTTGATAGCGTATCTGGCCTGCTGATGCCATCTGAGAACAATGTCAATAAGCTGGTGCGGCAGATGCATGTTCAGCATGCCTTGGACAAGTTTATCCCTAGGCATGGCATCAAAGGCGCCTGCAAGATCTAGCGTGACTTGGACACCCCCCACGAGGCTGGTTGGCTGTGCGCCCTCAAATCTATCGTGCAGTGTGCATTTCTGCAACAGGCACTCACTGCGCACAAGACGGCAGTGCTCAAAAACCCTGCGCAGTGCGTCCTTATGCGATCGTTGAGGGGTATATCCATATTGCGGGAACTGTTTAGTAAACCCATAGATGTAGTCTTGGTACGGGATCAGCAGACTACGGAAGGCGAGTTTACCAAGTTGGTCCTGCAATCCAATGGGTCTATGATGCCCTGCCTCGATGCCTGACTTGTTTGGTTTTTTGAAAAGTACGAGCTGCGCGTCTGACCAGTTTTGTGGCACCTCATTTTCTCCTGTCTGCCAACTTTTGTTGATGATGAGACTAGTTGCGTGCGCCGCTTCATGTGCACAGAGCCTCCATATTGCACTAGGTGGATGGCCATTTGGAACAGCCTTCCTCAGGGGCGCTCTGCTCAGCATGTGCTCCAGCGTGTTTGCGTCAACAAGCACCAACTCGGCGCCGCGCGATTGAGGCTGAGTGGCCAGGATTGGCACGTCCTCACAGGCAGTAAATTTTTTGGTGAAGTGAGCATGAAACTCATCCGCTTCTTCCTGCCTGGTGAGGATCTGACCTTGCGGTCCTCGGAGTTGTGTGCGCTTATAGTGCTGCTTAGGCGCAAGCGCTCGCACAACTTGGTAGACACCTCTGAGATCACGTTTATCCGCAGCTTCCTGTGCGGCCCGAAGCTTCTCTAGCAAGTATTGCTTCTTATGTTGTCTACAGAGTTGCTTGTGTTGCTTGCGCAGTTTTGTGTAACGCATCCACACTTGCCACCTTTTGAGGATGGCGGTGAGTGCCGTGCTGATGTTCCTTCGCCGGAGCACGCGCCAGCACCTCCACATCCCCTTAACTCCCTCCTGCACTGCCATTGTTTGCCACCTGTGGAGTTTTTTCTGTGGCCTTTTGGACGCCGGAAAGAATTGCGCAGCAATCTGATGTAGCTTGATTGGGAGGGCTTCAAGGTCTGCGACCGTCTGTATATTAGCAAAGAGCGACTGCGAGACTTGTCGAAATGCAATTGCTTGGTCCGACCAGTGCCCTTTTGCAACCAGCTTGGCTTGCTCCACAATGCATTCACGGTCAATGTTCGGCTTGCTGGCTGGCGGTTTCCGCCATTCAAATCTACGGATAGGCAAGATGGCCGTGACAGGGACGTGATATCCGCTAAGCCTACGCCATGCCCCCACAGGGCACTGCAGCAAGGGGCCTGCTCGTTTGGCCACCCTTTCCGCATCACTGCGGCGCACAATGATGTAATCAAGTTGCGCGGAGTGTGTGCCAAACTTGAAGGTGTGTGCCGTGTGGCCCGGTTTGGACCATGTATTGAGCGTTATAAGCGAGTGTGCATCAAGTAAGTTTACGACCTCATCCTCATCTGTGGCTCTGTCAGCGGAACAGAGTCCAGTGCCTGGGCCGATGTGTGGCGGACTTGGGCGTACTTGCACATTAAGGTCACCTCCTATCACTAGATGTTCTCTACGAGGGATGCCGTTCAAGCATTGGCCAAGTTTATGCCAGTAGTCGAGTCTCTTATTGAGAATCTGGGGATCCTTAGGGTTCCAGGCATGTTGATAGGCACTGAGTACACTGACCACGTTGTTGAGCCTGCCAACAGGAAACCTAACTCTGATGAGGCGTCCCGGCACAATGGTGTCATGTTTGACCTCAGCCTCATGTGTGATGGCTTTGCTGATGAGTACCATGACTCCTGCGTGTTTTTGCTGCGCTGTGCCTGAGCCGACGCATATCCATTTATCCGTGCAGTATTCGGTGTCAACACTCATTTTAGTTTCTTGGATGAGAACATGTCGTATGCAGCAGTATCTAGATAATGCATTAGTTCCTCGTACATGCCCGAGCCTAAACCACCAGCATTGTAGCTAAAATACCCTAAGGCAATGGCTGGATGCAGCCGCTTAATTTGTCCTCCTTCTAATCGACGTTGGGGCCGCCTGTCGGCTCCCATTGGTGTCATCGCCTGAGTACATGACTCTGCCTTTGTACATGGTGCTACCCCAGGAGACAGGCACGTTTGTATGAGCGCTTGGCTACTCTTGAATAGTGAAGGGCTGACTCCTGACTCTGTATGTGCTGTGTTCCGCATTGCTTCAGCGCACTATAGGCTGTGATGGGATCACGCATGTCGCTTCCCCCGGTCCCTGCGGATAGGACCGGAAGTCCTCGCACCACACACAGAGTGTATCGTCATCCATAGGCAAGCGTGCAGAACTCTGTGCGTCCCGGACTTGGGACCGGGTCGGCTCTTAGTAATTGCGGGGTAGTATTTACGGGTTGAGATTTCATGGCTACCTTTAAGATCATCTAATTTTGTGACGCTTTCTGAGGAAACTTGGGTACTGGCAATGCATCGGTGTCCTCGAGCACGCTGAGTTCCTCGTGCAGCTCAAAATCCGTGCTGACGGATACGTACGCTTGGATGACATTTTGTCATCTAGGCGGTTCTACTACATGTGGGCCACTGAAGAGGAGCTGATCGATGTCACTCACAGGAACAGCAAACAAAGGTTCCAGGTGTGCCGCATCGGCGGCCACTATGCAGCCAGAGCTGTTCAAGGACACTCAATGTCAGCTGTCCAGGATGATGCAGTCCTGATGCCGCTCGCACCGCAAGAGGTTCCCCAATACCTCGTCCACGGCACTGCGTGCGACTTCTATGAGAGCATTTTCCGATCTGGACTACTTCCGGGGGGTGCCAAAGGCAAGAACTTCCGCAAGCACGTCCACCTCACAGATCGGACGCCAAATCAAGGAGAAGTCATCTCAGGAAGCGCACAGATTCCGAAGTTGCACTGTGGATCCATGCGCGCAACGCTGCAGAGAACGGACTCCAATTTTGGAAGTCCCGCAACGGTGTCTACCTCCGTGGACACATCCTACCGCTCTACATTGCAGGCGTTGAGATCGTGGCAGGAGGAGAACAGGTGCCAGCGGTTGACGGACCACCGTCCCCTCGCAGGGTTGTACAGGCGCTAATTCGTGCCCCTGACAGCAATGTGTCCATACGTAGAGTGAGCAGTCAGCCCTCCTCTTCATCTTTTTATGGGAGCCAGCCGGGCCCCACGCACGATAAGAGCGTCGCACATCCTCAGATGCGTCTGCAATACATGCTCACATGCGTCTGGCGCGTTGCAGCGCTACACGGTGTTGCTGTCTGCGCTCTGCGGGGAACTTTTCCAGTGACTCGCAAACCTGGCAGGACCCGCCGACGGAGCCCTCAACATCCACGCGTGCAGGCCTTGCCGCACAGGTGCACCCTAAGTTCAGCACATGCACTGCCAGCACCGAAAACAGCACCAGTACGCACTCGCCAAATGCGTGCGCAGGTACCCGGCCCCGATCGGACCGTGAATCGATGGAGGAAGCACACCGTCGACGCTCTCAGAACCGTGTTATGCCCTTTCCCCACTCCCATGGGCACAGCCCTCGACGTGTCTCAAGAGGTCTGTCAGTGCCCGGGAGATCTGCTCTGCCCTTGGTCCCTTAGTGCGTTGGGGCACGCTGCCCCGTTCTGCTATCCATAGGGCCGTCCCTTGTAACTCGGTTGCCTCCGGCTCCCCATCCTCAATGTCGATGACTTCTGTGGCCCCGGTGGCCTCCGTGCTGTGGCCTGCAGGGTCCGGGTCTTGCGGAGCCACTCCGACTGCACCTCCCTCAGTGGGGCGGTCCTCTGCGACCTCCACATCAATCTCCAGATCAACAAAGTCCGTGCCACGTTCATCAGGCGGGGCATTGTCCGCGGGCTCGTAGAATGTCGTGATCTCACGATAGCGAGTTCCATCCTGATGATCTTCGATGTGGCGTTCCTCTGCTGGAGTCCGTGTGTGGGCTGCGTGCTCCCGAGGTTCCATGGAACTCGTGGCTCGACCATGTAGGAGCTCACGCAGCATTGGGTCTCCGGCTTCTCCAGCTCTGACAGTCTTGATGTCCTTCGTCTTGATGGTGCGGATAAATTCCGCAGGTGTCATCTGCCAGTGGAGTGCCTCGTACGCCTCAGAACAGCAGGAGTTGAGGATGTCCGCAAGGGTGCCGACAAGGTCCTGATAGCTGGCAAACCATGGTGGCTTGCCAGCTTTGGCAACACTCACAGTGAAGCATTCCACGAAGTCGCCCAGGTTGCCCCAGTTGGAGTAGGCGTTCCGAATGTGCCGCGAAAGCATGCTCCCTGTCAAGGCTAAGACCCAATTTCCCACGCGTGGGAAATCATGAAATGGGTTGTGAAGTTTGCGGAAGTCGCCAGCACGTTGGAATGCCTCGATCTGCGCAGGGAGCGCTGCGACGGTGAGCTTCTCTAGGAGAAGCACGGCGTGCTCCAGCCTCTGTTGCTGGTCGGAGAAGTGCGTAGCTGGCTCAGGCGCAGGGGTCCACTCGTCGTGGACACCCTCATCGGGCCGACTTCGGTCCGATTGGCTCCAGAGGACGGTGATCGTGGAGGGGCCGGTGGTGGTTTCGGCGGCCTGGCTGTTCGGCCTCCACTTGCTTGATAGTCCTTCCAAGCTTGGGCGTAGGGTGCCCTCCGCTCGAGTTCGCCGGAGGTGCGTCGGCGGGTTCCGTCCGCCCTTTCGCGCGACCTTGGCTCTCTAGTCTGCTCTGGACGCTCGGACATGATGTCTGCGGCAGTCGCACAGTATGCGCTGTCGGGCACACGCAACGCAGTCGTGAAATGCAAGCGAAGGCTGCTGACATGGGAGCGTACATGGCAGTTGTCAGACTGCAAGGCTGTACTGAGGCAATGCATGGCAGGCACTTGCAAGATGGTCCTGCTAGCGCTCCCCGGCGCATAGCGTCCACTGGCCATCACGCGTACCTGGCGGGAAAGACTAGAGGTAGTATGGCGTGTATAGAATTTGGGATCTACAGCTGTGTCATGACATCTGACAACCTGCACACTCTGCATAACTCGTCTGGTGCAAAGCTTGCATATGCAGTGCAGATTTATGGTCTTGGAGACCGCACACAGAAGGTCCGGCATCCTATGGCTCTTAAAAATGAGATCGTGCTCACTAGTCCGTTGGGGCCGCCTGAGGCAGCTCCCATCTGCTTGGGGCCGTGAGCTCCCATTCCAAAAACGCATGGATGCGTGCAGGCTGCAGATACACGAAATACCAGTGCGTGGCCAGCCATTCTGGCGTGAGGGTGTGCACACAGAGGTCATGGCACTCCGAAAAATAGTGCCCCCACTGTATTCCCAAGGCCAGGATTGCCTGATTATGTACCATTCTGCTAAGCCTGAGCAGCCTAACTCTACGGCCATGCGTTGGCGCTTCATGCTGTCTGACCGTGTTAAGATAGTCCCAAGCCTCAGCCGGTAGATCAAGAGCATGGGTGTTGACATGAGTAAGTGCTCGATATACTCGATCGGTGGTTGGCTGTTGGAACTTGGCCCAGATCCATCTATCCCACTCTGCAGGCTGCAGAGTCCGGCGTCTTCTTCGACACCATGCCAACACCGCACTGCGTCGTCGAGGCTCCCTGTTTTGGAGGACGAGGAAATCGTCAACTCCTCTGATGAGGGTCTCTTCTCTGAGATTGGTGATGCATTCCTGCAGGTGGCGCTCACAGTCTGCGCGCAGATCGTTCTCCAGGGCCGGATCAGGCTCTTGCTCCATGCTATCTGCAGGCATACTACATCTCCTGCAGCAAATGTGCTGTGGCACAGAAGCACTGCGGTCATTGGAGACATGGGGATGGATGTCCAAGCAACACATGACTGCGAATGCACTCTGGGGGCCTGACTGATCCGTGCGGAGCGCATGCAATGCTGTGAGCGGCATATGAGCCATGCAAGCAAGTCAAGGGTCAAGCAAGATCGAGCGCTGTAGCTCAAGGCAAGTTGAGCATTCCAAGCATTGCAAAGGCCTTGTTCAACAAAGCAAATCAGAAGGTGCTTGGTTTGAGACCTACGCAGGAAGAGCGCACTGTTGCCTGTAGGGGAGCCACAGCTTCGACCCTTGGTCGGCTCAGTCCAACGAATCCAGCTGCTCCGGCGGGGCAGCTGTCGAGGGTGGCCTGGGGACCAGAGGTGCTGCTGTAGTTGATTTATGGGGAGGGGACTTACCTTAGGAGACCTGTTGTGTGCATTCAAGCCCGGCCTGTATGTCCACCCGGGAAGTTAGTGCTCGAAGGGTAGGCTGCAGTGCGGGTAGTGGTCACTTCAAGCTGAGGGTCGCGGCCTGGTGCGCTGACTGGGCCTGCTGTATGACCTTCAAGCCATGCCCTTGGCGTGGGGCGTGGCTGCGCTGAGTGGTATCCTCTGCCGAGTCCACCTTGCATATTCACACATAGACCCATGCCAGTGTCCTGGCGTATGACGGGGGCAGATTCAGCTTGGTGCAAGTGAGAGGGTGTTGCAGCAGTTGGGGCCATGGGGGCCTCCACTTGCGGCACTCCTGCGCGCCCATGCGCGGGGCCAGGATTGGCACCCGAGGAGGACGATGCGGTATGCTCACCTTCTGTGGCTTGCATCCAAGCAGGTCGAGTGGGGATCACGAAAACCGATACTTCTCTCACCCTTACTGCCTCAGGGGAGATGTGCACTCTCACCCTAACATCCGGCTGGAGGTAAGGGCCAACTGTCTCCACAAGATCAACTTCAAGATTAGTGGGTAGATTGCGTCCTTGATATCGGATGGGCGAAGAGGGCCAGAGTTCTCGCCGTTGTTTCCGTGGCGGCGGCGGTGATGGATCATCGTTCTCCATCGCACCACACATTCCAAGCATCAAAAGGTAGCAAAGAAACCATGGCCGCATGATGTGCATAGCTGGGTCAGCCCAGATATCTTCTCCGGATGGAGGAACTGCAGCTACCCCGCACACGCTGCAAACAAGTTCGAGCCGTGGTGCTTGCTACTACTACTACTGCTACTGCTACTGCTACGACTAACTACGACTACGACTACGACTATGACTACGACACGACGACGACGACGACGACGACGACGACGACGACGACGACGACTGCGACTACGACTACCACTACCACGACCACAACCTACTACTACTACTACTACTACTACTACTACTACTACTACTACTACTACTACTACTACTACTACTACTACTACTACTACTACTACTACTACTACACTACTACTACTACTACTACTACTACTACTACTACTACTACTACTACTACTACTACTACTACTACTACTACTACTACTACTACTACTACTACTACTACTACTACTACTACTACTACTACTACTACTATACTACTACTACCATACTACTACTACCATACTACTACTACCATACTACTACTGCTACCATACTACTACTACCATACTACTACTACCATACTACTACTACCATACTACTAATACTACTACTACTACTACTACTACTACCACCACTACTACTACTACTACTACTACTACTACTACTACTACTACTTCTACTATACTACTACTACTACTACTACTACTACTACTACTACTACTACTACTACTACTACTACTACTACTACTACTACTACTACTACTACTACTACTACTACTACTACTACTACTACTACTACTACTACTACTACTACTACTACTACTATACTACTACTACTACTACTACTACTACTACTACTACTACTACTACTACTACTACTACTACTACTACTACTACTACTACTACTACTACTACTACTACTACAACTACATACTACTACATACTACTACTACTACTACTACTACTACTACTACTACTACTACTACTACTACTACTACTACTACTACTACTACTGCTACTACTACTACTACTACTACTACTACTACTACTGCTAGTACTGCTACTTCTACTACTACTACTATTATTCTACTACCAATGACGAGGGGTCCGTGCACATGCTGTTCTATCAGGCAAGCGGTGGAAACCCTCTCGCTCAGTCTAAAGTCGAACGACGTCTCCAAGATATCATCGGAGTCTTTGAACAAGCTGAATTGAACAGTTGAAAAACCGTGGCGTTTGACCTTGCCAGAACCCTTGTGACTGACCCTTCACTCAACTTCGGACAATTGCGCGCAAATGGCCTCTTGGCAATTGTAACAAACCTTGCCCTTGTTCTTGTTCTTGGCAATGGCTTGGTTGGTCTGATTCTTTCCTTTCCCCAGGTAAAACAAAGACGCCTTTCTGCATTCTTGTCGCCCTTTTTTCTCACCCTAAGGATTGTCTCTGCTGCCTTTTTTCCGTCCATCTTGTGGAAAAGGATGCATGACTTTACAGATTCTTCAAGACCAAACTGGCCTTGTACTCTTTCGAAACACTGTTCTCACTTGCTTCAGAATGTCCAACAAGAGTGTCGGGTTTCGCGTTTTGGGCTTTAATTTCAAGCTCAAAAAATTGGTTTGCGCGATCTTCGCGTTTTAAGACTTTTGACACACATGTCCAAATTCATCGCAGAAAACATGGTTTCCAACACCTCACTGTGCGTTGGGGTCGCGAGAAAAGTGCAAGCAGACAATTTCTGACACAAAGGGTCCATCTTTCCGGTCGGTGCGACAGACCAGCTTCTCGTGCTTGGCGACCGCGGCGACCCCGTGAAGATGCCACTTTCTTGGCAAGCGCGGCGGCAGCGTCTCTGGCACACCTTCCGGGATAAATGGGTGCTGGCATTGGTGGCGACGGCAATGCTGGCAGCGGCGCGGCGAAGACTGCTTTATGCGTGTCATGTTGCTGTTGTACATCTGTTGCAAAACCCAACTGTGGTTCAAACTGGAGCAAGGTCTTCCGCGCCTGAAATAAGAAGAGTTCGCGATGGCAGGGTGTTCTGGATCGGGCCCGCCCCCTTCGTACGAAGGGGGGCTTGAAGGGGGGCCCCTTGAAGGGGGGCTGAAGGGTCGGACCCTTGAAGGGGGCTTGAAGGGGGGGGTGAAGGGGGGAGGGGGGGGAGGCGAAGGGTCGAAGGCTTGAAGGGGGGCTTGAAGGGGGGCTTGAAGGGGGGGGCTTGAAGGGGGGCTTGAAGGGGGGCTTCAAGGGGGGCTTCAAGGGGGGCTTCAAGGGGGGCTTCAAGGGGGGCTTGAAGGGGGGCTTCAAGGGGGGCTTCAAGGGGGGCTTGAAGGGGGGGCTTCAAGGGAAGCTTCACAGGGAGGCTTCAAGGAGGGCCTGAAGGGGAGGTTTGAGACGCGAGCCTAAACGTCGCGAAGAAGGCCCAGGTGCTCGGCCTCGTAAACTGCTCCCTGCAACCCGTGCGAAGCAAGCCCAGTTATTAGGCCGCTTGAACTGCTCCCTGGAACCTCGCGAAGAAGGCCCAGTTAGTGGGCCTCTCAAACTGCTGCCGAAACGTCGCGAAGAAGGCCCAGTTATTAGGCCTCTTAAACTGCTCCCTGAAACCCCTGCGAAGCAAGCCCAGTTATTCGGCCTCTTAAACTGCTCCCTGGAACCTCGCGAAGAAGGCCCAGTTATTAGGCCTCTTAAACTGCTCCCTGAAATGCGAAGCAGGCCCAGTTATTAGGCCTCTTAAACTGCTCCCTGGAACCTCGCGAAGAAGGCCCAGTTATTAGGCCTCTTAAACTGCTTCCTGAAACCTCTGCGAAGCAGGCCCAGTTATGAGGCCTCTTAAACTGCTCCCTGTACGGGTTTCCGGGAGCAGTTTAAGAGGCCTAGTACCTGGGCCTTCTTCGCGCCGTTTATGCCCGCGTCTCAAACCCCCCTTTCAAGCCCCCCTTGAAACCTCCCTTTGCAGCTTCCTCTGATCCCCCCTTGAAGCCCCCCCGTGCAGCCTCCCTAGCCTCCACTAGAAAACATGGGGTTTTCGGCTTAGCCCCTTGCCACACGCACTCGAGATGGGAGGCGTCGGGTACTCGCAGG